ATCTAATCACATCTTCATTAAACATGTGTTTCATTTACCTCCCTTACAATCTAGCATTACGTAACCGATTCAATTGTTTTTAGTAGCTTTTACTGTTACGTCTACCCGAACATTTGTTTGTTTAATCATGCTGTTTTTTCATTATTCGTATTATCCTATAGACAAAACACCATGATTGGTTTATATTTGAATTTTTATTTGCAAAGTTATCCGGGTATATTAGAGTTAATTTAGGCTGGTGAGATCTAATTAAAAATGATAATCTGAGTTAGGATCCACCGTACTTTTCTTTAATGTCACTGTACACCCCCTTCCTTTGAACTGGTGAACTGGTATACAAATGCCTGTCGCTCCATCAAAACTGCGTAGATTACAGTAAAGCTTGAGTGAAGATCTAATTGAAGAATAAAACGTGATATTGTTCGTTTATGTGACTTATATCAGTTTAAATAATGGGAATATTCAATGTTTTGAAGTGTAAGCAAGACTAATTTTGTAAAAATGAATTTATTCTTAAAACTCGAAACATAATTTATGAAAATGAATGTTTAATACAGATATATTCTTTAAGAAAACTATATTGAACTAATATAGTTTATGTGTTAATATAACGAAGATAATACGTGTCTGGTATCCTTCAGATTATCTCCTTGAAATGGCCTCAGGTCTCTGTGTAAAATAAATAAATAAATACCTAGAAATATATCAGTATAGAGTGTATTATAACTTAATTATCATTATAACATTATTATTGTTTCTTTCAATTCCCATAGAGGAACATAGGGCTTCAGACGCACGTCTCCATGGCTTCCAGAGTTCTCTGCCAATGTTTTCATCTGGCTACACGTCTTCCCCTATCCTTTTGTCTCTTCTTCACATGACCTTCTCCTCCAACTTACAACACCCTCGCACTCACGATCAACTAACTCGCCGCTTTCCATTCGGTTCCCACTCGAGCGGTGACCTGGCGTGTGATGTCACTCACTTAATGGTTTGTTTTCTCAGAGTATGGCCAGCTTATTCACCTCCATTTCTTCCTGCATATTTGTTACACCATCTGTTCCTGCTGCGCTGGTTTGTTCATTACCAGAGATCCCTGTTGCTGGTGTTCTATGGTCATCTGATCTTGAATAGTAATAAGCGAGGACAGCTGTTAATGAACGTCTTTAGTTTATTTAAAGTGGCCTTCGTGACGCGGCGTGGTGAAGCGCCAAGTCTGTGGTCTGTATAGTAAGTAGCACTGACTTGACATTGAAGTTGAAAACTCGGATCTTATTTTTATTTTCATGCTTAATGCTGTTGACCTCCTCCACACAGGCTACTTTGATATCTTCATCAATTTCGTCCACCTGTAGTTGAAACTATACTTCCCAGATAGGTACATAGTTAGGTGAAGTAGGTTGCTTTTTTCAGCATTTTCCCATTTATGCTGAATAATTTAATTATTCAAGTGTTGGTTTGCAATGATTTCATCATGATGAGGTGATATCGGTTAGAGAACCATTGAAAATCTAGCCAGGCTGTACTGGATAGCTGTTTCATCACCCTACTTTGGAACTGTTCATCAGCCCACACTCATCAGGACTAGGGCTCGAAACCAGGATTTTCCATTTACAAGGTAAGTTTGTAAACCACTTAGTGAATAAAACGCCTTTATACACCTGCTTAAAATATAAAACAAACAACACGACAGCGATGACCAGCAGGCGACCTAAGAAATCGCTTGCTAGGACATTCCTTGAAACTAGATAGATTTCTCTCTAACAGATAGCATGCTATTGATGGATGGTGGCTAGCAGTGGAATCCAGGATAAAGCGCATTTCGTCCTATTTGGGACTCGTCAACTGGATGTACCTGCATTTCTCAGTGAGTGATGACGTTCCCACCGAAGCTCGAACCCAGTACCCATAGCTTCAAACGCCAAAGCGTTATCCACTAGACCACTTGGGCCACGAGAGCCACCTCTTGTGCAACGGGTCATATTAATTATTGAATTGAATTTTTGATTTTCCCGTCGAGTCCCAAATAGGACGAAATGCGCATCCTGGATTCCACTGCTAGCCACCATCCACCAATTGTATACTAATGAAATGCCTGGACATCGTCGAAGCATCTGCACAAGAAGCCGACATGTCAACCTGAGACCGAGCACTTCGGTCCAAACAATCGACGGGAAAATCAAAAATTCAATTCAATAATTAATATGACCCGTTGCACAAGAGGTGGCTCTCGTGGCCCAAGTGGTCTAGTGGATAACGCTTTGGCGTTTGAAGCTATGGGTACTGGGTTCGAGCTTCGGTGGGAACGTCATCACTCACTGAGAAATGCAGGTACATCCAGCTGACGAGTCCCAAATAGGACGAAATGCGCATCCTGGATTCCACTGCTAGCCACCATCCACCAATTGTATACTAATGAAATGCCCAGACATCGTCGAAGCATCTGCACAAGAAGCCGACATGTCAACCTGAGATCGAGCACTTCGGTCCAAACAATCGACGGGAAAATCAAAAATTCAATTCAGATAGCATGCTCCTTAGTTCACTCAAAAGTCGACAGTTATACAAAACTTTATCAGCTTCAATTTTCTCTATCAATTTATTAGGGTAAGCAATAGTGAGGTTGGGCATCGGTCGACCACTAGGTAAGGAGGGGAAATCAACAGACGAGGCTGTCGAGCTATATAGTTTGAGATGCTTAGGACATATGTAACGTATTCATCCCTATCCATAGTCTTCCTCGACAATGAGCAATATTAGCTGACATAAGGTCAGGTTGGAAAAGAGGTAATACGTGGTGGTCAAGCCAAAACATGGCTTCATCAGTCAATGAAATCCACAACATTTAGTTTAAGCCAGCCAGTCACATATGATGATGTAGAGTTCCTGCTAGGAGTCCTCAAGATGGTAGAAACCAACGGCTGGAGACAATTGGTGATATAGCCGGCGCAGATGCATCCATTCCATGTGACTTTTAATATCCAACAAAACTATAGTGTTCTTCGATATTACCATTCTTTTTGCCTCATATTTCTATTCTTTGTCTCTGTTTTGCATATCGTTTTACTTTCTTATCTTGCTTTGTGTGTTACATGGAGTGTGGTAACTCGAACTACTGCACATTGGTACAATGTTCTTTGTTGAAATTAGTCAGTCAGTGGTTGCCGATTTGCGTATGTGTTGAGATTAGAAGTAAGTGAATCTTTGAGTAGCTTAATTATTAGACATCAGACTAACACACACTATCAAGTAGACAACTTGAATTCTTTCAGAAAGAAAGGCAAATAAACGAACTCAAGTTTGTTGAAGTTCATAGAAGCCAGCGCCATCAGTTTGAACTTGACTTATCTATCCAAAATAAAATTGCAGGAATTCTTTCTCTGCCTTGATAGCTCTTCATTCAAGTATAAAACTGTTTCTATCATTTCTTATTTGATGTTACATCTGATTTCTTTTAACTCTTACATAGTTATATTCTGATTTATTAATAAACTTCATACCTCATTAATTTGATACTGAGCTAAATGAGCTTAACTCACAAAAGGTCTTCATATCTCACCTGCTTATCAAGGATTTTCTAATGACCTACGTAATCTTCAGCAATTAGTTTGTAGGCATTTGATTTGTTTGAAGTTCAACCACGGATAGAAATCAGTTGGAGAACCATTGGAAACCGTCATGGAGTAGTGGACTAGGAACTGTTTCGTCCGAGTTTGCGACTCATAGTCAGTCTACACCCATCCGAATTCGAACTCAGGACCACTAGATTACTAGACAGGCTTTTCAGACATTCAACTACGAGGACCAGGGATAATTAGGCGTCTGTTTTATCCTAGTTTATGACTCTGGACAGGTATGCATTCATGATCCCATCATTGATCGAATCGAGTCTCATTATGTTACAAGATGAGCATATTGAACTTTGAGCTATGGAGAAGGAACACAATGGTCTATTCCGCCATGTTTAGCATCACTACCGTGCACTGTCACATGTGAGTGTCTGAAGTGAAATGTGACTTAGCGAACTTCACTGGTTACCCTCAGGAAATCAGTGCTTGCGAATCCCTTTTTATCAGGCTACGTTAGCCAGCAAAGGTCAAATGCTAATATATCCGAGTGACGCTCTGTTTGATGTGCAATTACTTACACTACAACTTCGTTAGATATGTAAACGCCTTTGACAGAGTTGACTGGGAAGTAATTTGGATAATGCTTCAACACCACAGAATGTAGTGCCATAAACCTTTATCAACCTCATTCAACAGCCGTATGACAGTGTCACACATACGAAGTGATTCACACTTAAAAACTCAGTGATGCTTTTCAATTGATGACAGGAGTAAAACAAGGCGGCTTACAAGACTACCAAGGATATCGTTGATTTCGGTGAATAGGATCATATGGCACGAAGGGAGAACTCAGAAATACTTTTTTGGTGGTGGTGGGTGGGGGAGGCAAGAAGACTATGAAGGATTTGGACTTCGTAGACGGTTTATGTCTAATATTACACGAACTTAATGATCTTCAGGAGAAAGTCAACAGGCTAGCCGAAAAGAGGTAAGCAGTGAAGACAGGATTTCAAGTGAACATAGAGACGACGAAGGTGATGAAGATAACTAAATAACCACCACCACCACCAACAACAACAACAAAATAAACAAGCACCAATCACTATCAACAGGAGGAACTCGGAGGAAGTCACTCCCTTCATTTATCGCGGAAGTATTGTATCAATTAAAGGTGACAGCACAAATAAGAATTTCTAAGTCAATCAGTTCTTTCTATATAGTTCACAGAACTAGCACGTCACTAAAAGCATATCGATCAGGCTTCATCATCCTTCATCAACGGCTGCTTTCATTCCATACTGAAGATTAAATGCCCAGTCAGCATGCATTAACACCTAGGAACTCTAGCGATGAACTAACCAAGGACCCCTGTCGCTTAACAAATATTTCCGAAGGAAATCGAGAGGAATTGACTACACGTTACTGTAAAGACTGCTATATGTGATTTCGTGGATCAAGCCGTTAGGTGGAATTCTAAGCGGACGAATTACTCATCTGAAGGTAACTTGAAGGACGTTATTTGAGGTGGAGATGACAGGCTATTAAGCATTCGTAGGAATAATATAGATGTAATATTTGGAACGCTGATAAAGAATGAGAATCAAGCGATTCTGGCAAACAACCCCGAAAAAACTTTTGTCATACAAACATACTTCACTGTTTGATTTCTTCTTCCATGGCACGTTTCATTTCTGTTATTCTTTCTTCTTTAGTCATTGCTAAATATTCAGTTGAAATAATGATTAGAAAGTTTTGGTTTTGTTTGGGGATTTTGTTCGATTGCATGAAGGATTTAATCATGAGCGGTATCAGCTAGAGAAATACTTGAAAACTTGGGAGTACTAGACAGCTGTTTTGTCCCAGTTTGACACTCTTCATCAGCACGCACCCACCGCTAAGGTTTGAACCCAGGACCTTCTGGTTACAAGGCGAGCTCGTAGACCGTTCAGCCACTGAGACCCTATACAGTTGTCCTTGAATTCTAACTTCTGCCATTTCACGACATAGCGTGACAGTTTCGAAATGTCTTTTTCGATGAGTTACTGCCTCATCTTCAACCTTATGTACTCTACTGGTCATGGATTCACACTAAAACCCCAGGTAGCTGGTGAGCATCAGAATAATTTTCAAGTATTGGTTTTGTAGGATTGGTGCGTACTGATGAGGTGTCCCAAACTAGGACGAAACAGCTGTCCAGTACTTTCAGGTTTTCCAGTAGTTCTCTAATTGATGTCAGCTCATGATTAAATCCTCCATTTAACGATTAGCAGTAATATTAATCATGAATATTGATAACCTACGTTTCAAGTATTCAACTCTTTGAACTTCAAGGACTGTGACTTTATTTTTTAAATCCCCTTGAATGAAGAGAAAAATATAATAATTATAACAATAGTAATAGGCATTATTCCAAAACAGTACTTGTGATACATTGAGAACTTCTCAGAATTTTCTACAATATTGTCTCTTGTTTAGTCGACAATAGCAAACACAAAAATCAAACAGAAAAAGATTACAGGATCGATAATGGCTGTTGTTTTGCTATTCGCATGGACAGTAAAGTCAAAAATCTACAAAAGTGTAGAACAATGGTGTTGATAATAATAGTGTGAATAGGTAATTTATCAGTTGATTGTAATAGTATTGTGACGACAGAAGACAGTGGGACCAGGCAACAGATAGTTTATTGAGAAAATCAAGAGATATTTATACATTTTTATGTACATTATTATTACCGTTATTGCTGAAGGTTATTCTGCTACGTGTTTGTGGCCGTTTCTTAGAAAGTTAAGCCATTTATCAGTGAATCATTTATCCACACTCGAACTCCTCTGTGATTGGCTGGTGATTTTCTCAAGGTTAAACTTTGACATTGTTTTTTACCATAACCCTGATTCAGGATGTGAACATTGCTGTAAATTGTTGTCTAGGATTTTAGCTAGCAGACAGGTCTCACCACACTTGTCCACCCATCAGAGACTTTCGACTAAAGTTGATTCAGTATTCCTGGCTGTGATGGCTTTGTTCGTTTGTCTTGGTGTCTGGAATTCCAGCACTCGCGAACATTCACCTGATTCTCTTTGTTTTCATTTCTCATCATATATACATGCCCATGTATAATCCTCTTCATTCTGGAATCTTTTTGCCTGACCCTGGCGGTCATTTGTCGGTGTTTCCCTCAAACTTTCATATGCTGCCTTCTCGCGACTTCACAGCAGCATTCCAAGTAACAGCCTCATCGCTGACGGATCTGGAATGCCACTGAACTGAGCAAAAGCCTCGAAGTCCTGCGAGAAGAACCATATGTCTCCATCAAAAATTGCAGCGCATAGGATTTCCATTTGGCGGTAGGCTGCGACATGAAAGGTAACGACAGAAGACAAAGGCTAGGCAACAGATCGTTCATTCAGAAAATCAAAATACAATTAGTTTGTTTATGTACATTATTGTCAGCGGAGAAGCGGCATCTTCTGATTAGTTGTTTCATTGCTGAAGGTTATTCTGTCATCTCTTTGTGACCGTTTCTTACATTGTTGGGCCATTTATCTGCGAATCGTATGTAGACACGTTAAGTCTGCTGTAATTGGTTGTTGAGTTCCTCAAGGTTTAGCTTTGTTATTGTTTTTCTCATGACCCTGATTCAGGACGTGAATAGTGACGTATATTGTTGTCCTTAATTTCGGCTTGCAGACAGCTCTCACCACGGTATCACGATAGATTACAAATAAGAGAGAATAAAAGAGCAGATTATTATGTTATTTACATGGGGTTAGTCTTTCGTTCCCCGAATAACATTATCTTTACCACATAGATCACGGGGGTGCGTGGTTGGCCAAATAGTGTCGTTCCGGTTCTTTTGCTTGGTTGTACGAGTGTATAATCTGATATTTTAATGACTTCCAGTCCCAAATGATGACATGCAAGTGGAGAGAGAGGTGAGAATAAGCAGATTGTCTTGATGGTCAGACAGTGTGGATTTAAACGATTTCTCACATAAGTTCAGTTGTCTATCAACTTCTGTAGTAACAAGCTGATTAAATGACCAACCACTTGATTGCATGCTTGCTTTCCCTTCAGACAACCTTAATACCCTTTTGCAATATATATTACATAGTACTTTTGAACAGCTCAGGAAAAACAAAGTCGGGGTTGGTGGAAGAGTAAACTACAAGAAGTAAGATTTAACAAACTGTATAAGAAAAAGGTTGAGTGATTGTAGATTGTCTTAACTTCTTAGTGTAGTGGGTTGAAAGGGACAGTGTCTTAGAAACTGACTAAATATGACACAACCGATCAAGAAATGCTAGTGAAGAGAACTATTTCTGCTTCTGAACGTCAGGCCGACAAAACTTACATCTACATAACTTGCGTCTAATTTATCGTGTTTCTGTTGATGTTTACATATTTATTTTTATTTTATTTTTGGCTACAGCTTGATTCCACACCGTATTTTTGGTACAAGTGTGGAATTTTCAGCGTGGATATCGGTAGCCCAAAATTCGCAGGCCAACCATAAATATCAGGTGTGCGTTGGCGTGAACTCGAACACCGGACCATGTGCATGGTCGGCGAGAGTCCTAACCACTGTGCCACCGACGCACGTATGACGTCGAATCGGATTGTTTACTGGAGTGAATTTTTTAAAAACTTCACCATTAAATGACTTTCAAGTTTGTAAAAAAAAGAATCTGAGAAAACACATCATGGTCGATAGCAGCGTGGATGTGTGGTTAGAGCTGTCTGCAAGCCGAGGTTGTCAACAATAATTTACGTACATGTTCACGTCCTAAACTTGGGTTCTGGAGAGAAAACAAGAACTAAGACTAACCTTGAGGAACTCAACAACCAATCACAGAAGACTAAACTTGTGCAAATACAATTTGCAGCTATATACATCAGTGGACTGTCTAAGAAATGGTCACAAAGAGATGACAGAATAACTTTCAGCAGGAAAACAACCAATCTGAAGACGTTTCCTCTCTGCTAACAATAATGGAATAATAATGTACATAAAAATCTAAAGATATCTGATGGTTTTCTGAATAAACGATTTGTTGCCTGACCCTTGTCGTCTGTTGTTACACATTGAAATATACATTTATAGTATATATATACACACATTATCGACCATATTATTATTATTGTTTTCTTGGGTTCCTAGTGGAACTAAGAGCTTTAATCTCCATCTATAAATCTTCGGTGACAATGGTGTTCATTTTTTTACGGGGTAGAGTTGCATGCCTCATGCCCAGTTTTCTCTTTTTACTGACCTTACGATCGACTTCGTGAGGTTAAGGAGTTCCTTGTCAGCTTGGGATTCAACCTGAATCCACATAAGTGGCTGGAGAGCATCCTTCCGAAGAGCTATCATCTCAACCGTTTCAACATGAAGAGACAATAATGTCTTGTCAAATAACAAAATATTAATACTTGATTGTCTGAGAAGTTGTTAGGTCTTTTGATTGGACACTAGTAACTAGTGTGACGTGTCTAGTCCTTCCTTTTGGTGCAGACTGAGTTCTATCTGTCAGGTTTGCGATGTGGCCACGATTCTAGGTAGATCGGCGTTACGGTACACATTGATTTGATGATATTATATGGTTGGAGGCAGTCGGCAGGAAGCCTTGGACCTAGGTTTTGTGCTAGGTGGCACTCACCCATCAGTAAGGCGTATCTACAACTCTAAAGGAACTCATATCCCTTCTAAGATTCGAACCAACGTCACCCAGTGCTGCCTGCAGTCGGAGATGTTAACAATGAGCTATTCGGGCTCAGGACTGATCTCCTATAGGACTATATCGGATACTTTGATTGGACATTGGTAAACAGTGTGATGTGATTGGTCTTTTCGTTGGTACAGATTGAATTCTACTGTTCAGCTTTGTAATGTGGCCACCATTCTAGGCAGCACGTCTTCCAATAAATATACCCACTACAGTCCTACAAGAAGTCGATCGCAAGCCTGAATAGCACAGTGGTAACGTCTCTGACTGCACCACTGATTGACGCGGGTTCGAATCTCAGAAGGGACATGAGTTCCTTTAAGGTTTCAGAGACGCCTTGTTGACTGGTAAGTGCCAACTAGCACGAAACCTAGGTCCAAGGCTATCTGTCGATCGCCTCCGACTATCTAATATCGTCAATGTTGTAAAGATTAGATAAGATTAGACGAGTTACATTTTACCACAAAGTCCATTGGAGTAGTTTCATAGTGTTCGATTGATTGACAAAAACTATTATGTCATCATTCTCAGGTAAAACTATCTAGTTCTTCTGATAAGGCTTATTGTATATTCTTAAGAATAACACACTGAAGCAGAAAATATTGTGATTTCAATTAGATTTCATCAGGCTTAATTAACTGTAACATACCCAAATTAACGTTCTTTATTCCTTCACGTTCCCAGTGGAACATAGGGCCTCCAGTTAGAGGCTTGAAGTATCTGTAACAGTGTTTATTTTTACAGGATGGGATTGCTGCCCTCATGCCCAACCTTTCCTCTTCAACAGCTTTATTTCTGGGTTAGTGAAGTAAAGGAGTGCACCAGCCAGGGACCGAACCTCAGACCATATGCATGGTCGACGAGTGGCATAATGCTCCACAAGCTCGTCTTGTAACCAGAAGGTTCTGGATTCGAATCTCGGCAGTGGGTGCGCACTGACGAAGAGTTCCAAACTAGGACGAAACAGCGGTTCAGTGCTCCCAGCTGGTTTTTCAACGGTTATCTAACTTATAACCTATATAACTTGAGAAAAATTAATATTAAAATGTATAAACCAATCACGGGGTTTCCATGACCTGGAGCTTGACATTTTGTACATGAGATCTTTTTCTTATGTATTTGTAAATTTTATATATGTCAATGTACCTGTTAATTGCTAATTCACTGAAACACCAGGCTTCTGAAAATTCTCTGGCATCCTTGATGTTTCCTATTTGAACATTGTCCTAATCAGATTAATATCCCTGGTTGTTTGTATGCAGTGAGTGATATGAGCAAGTGAATATCATGTCTTTTGCCAGTTTGTTTGTAATCATGGATACGAAGAAGAAGAAGAGAGGACGTCCACGTTGGCCAATGTAGTGTTTTTCGCAATCATTAAAACTTATTTTGTAGATGACGTTGGTTTTATCTTCTTTCACTGTTATGTGCGACATCAATTTCAAAAGGTTTGAAGAGTCTGGGACGACCTTTATATATATATATATATGCGTCGGTGGCACAGTGGTTGGGACTCTCGCCGACCATTCACATGGTCAGAGTTTCGATCCCCTGCCAACACACACCTGATATCTATGGTCGGCCTGAAAAATTTAGGCTACCGATATCACATGCTGAAAATTCCATAACTGTACCAAAAATACAGTGTGGAATCAAGCTGTAATCAAAAATAAAAAAAATATATTTATGGTTGAGTTATTTTCTTTGCGTTTCCTTTGGAGGCCTTTGTTTCGTCAGATTGGCTTGATGGTAGATGTCTTTAAATGAAGTTTCTTGGATATCTATTCTTCTTTGGAAGACATCCATGAGATATTTTTGTTGAATTTTTGTTAGAAAAGGTATGCTGGAGTGAGTCCTGGCTATCCGGAATAATGTTTGTAAGCAACTGAATTTGTGTGTCATATTGGGTTGTTGCTGTTGTGTATTTGATTATTTGATCTGTGTACGTTGATCTTCTGTAAACTTGAGTTTATAATTTTCCTGTGGTTCTTCACTTGACTAAAGGTGTCAAAACAAAGGGAATTTCATTCCTCGGATTCCTCTTCTTTTGGGAATTTTATTTTGGTCATTAAGGCGTGAGTTATGTCTCAGTCGGTCTTTTAGGTTCAGGTTAGGGATATCTTCAGTTTAGCTTCAGGTGAAGGAAAGATTAGAAAATAATGATATTGTTATAGTTCCCAGTACATTTTTGTCTTCTTTCATACTGGAATCAGTATACAGTCAGCTTAGAGAATTAGAACTAATTAATCATTTATTTGATGTATCACACGGTGAGGAGACAGTATTATTTGCTAGGTGGCGAGGTTTCAAATCATATCATATCATATCATCAATTATAATCACACAACTTCTAAACTTGAGTTTTATAGTTTTCTTTATTCTCTCCTATTTATCGTCTTAGGGGTAGTAGAATTTCGGAGATATCTGAGACAGGTATTGAATCATTCCTATTACACGTGTTTGCAGTTGATTCGATAGACAAAGCTTCCGTTATCAATATCTCCTTCCACCTTATTACATTAGATTTCAGCACTGTCATCTTATCCCATCCTGTGTGTAACTGCATGCAGTGAGTGCTATAGCTTAACTATTCTCCAGATTTCTTATCCTATCCGATTCAACTAGTCTAGATTGTGTTATGTTATGTTCGACTAGTCTGACTGACTAACCACTACTACTACTACTTTGCCCTGTGTATTTGACCTGAGAGTCATTTCGACAGGGTATTAGGTAATTTAAATTGTTTTGTGCAATTGGCTCCACATGACTGATCCTCTAACCGAGAAAATTTGTTTCCAAATGAGTTTGTGGGTGGTTTGAATGCCAGCCACTTTTGTTCCTGCATTGTTGAGGATTCTCCTGAAGGTCTCCGAGGTTACTTCATTTTATGGAAGTACTACTGACGATTTAGATTCCCTAATGTTGGTGTTGCCATCATCCTGTGCATGTCGTCATTATTATCACTATTATTATCATTATCACTATCGCTACTATCATTATTTATAATATATTTGTATTTCCCTACACACTACATGATTCATTATTCAGGGTAGTTATTAAGTTTCGCTCATGCATCTCATAAATTTCTCATTGGTACTGCTTAGTTTTTGTGCTCTATTACTTAGAAATTTCACCAATCTTATTTTCACCGACAGATGAGATGGAATGATCAGAAATCCAAATATGTGTTTGAATGTGTTGGTTTCCTGTAAACACCAGTATGCTCAACTTCCCATCTTCTTTGCTTCTTGCGCTACAAACTCATCTTAGAAGCTCCACTTCCTTACTTTCTAATTCATCATAAGTGAACTGAACTGCCTACATCTTTAAGTTGATGTGTTCGAAAAATCCATCTATCCATATCCTGTGTAATAAGTACAGTGATGAATGTGTTATCCGTTCATAAAGTCTGAAAGAAATTTCGAGGTGGGACAAAGTAGCTAAGTGATTCCCCTTATCCCCAGTTTTCTGATATCATACACTAGAAAACTAAAAAAACATGCAGACAAAACGCTATCGATTTGACCGGAACTACGACCCAGTAGACTATGAGAGAGTACTAACGTAATCCACTGACTAATCTGTCCTAATTCCACGTCAACAATAACACCACCGGCATGCGAAAATGGAAGAAAAGACTGGACGTTGAGAAGAGAGCTTAAACTGTCTCAAACAGCAGTCAGAATGCTACACAGAAACATTGATTTTTAATACAGTGTGAGTGACCTTGAAAACGCAGCTATTTAGTGATGCATTAAAAGTACTAACAACCAATAGGAATCCAGCAATCTAGATAAAGGGAAAAACAAATGGCTCATGGGAGTACACGATAACTGCTTAAAATAATCATTTTAAGGTTTTAGGTGAAATTAGGCAATTAAACTAGATGTATACAGCATATATAAAAAAGGAGAAAATAATAAATTTCAGTCACCTAAAGAGGAGAAATATTCATTCATTGCTTGATTGCTTTCATCGCCTTTTCGCTTAATTTCCTCATCCTCTGTGAAATGTAGCACAATAAAAGAAGAGAAGGCAGAAAATAGTAAACTAAACGCTACTATGGACGTGTTATCATACAATTTCAACATGATATCTTTCTGATAGTGCGCAGACAAAAATTCTACAGTTGAGTACTCATCAATCATACGTAGAATATGCAACCCCAAATCAGTATGAACGGGACATTACTCGTTTAAGGAAGACACTACTCCAAATTGGCTATCCCAAACACACACAGCCCACAGAAAAAACAGAAAGCCAAAAATTAACAAACAACAACCCATCTCTGTCCCAAAGAACATATTTTACATGAATGTGGCATGCAAACGACACCTTCTGGCCGTCTTCCTATAGAGAAGAATATCCAACTCCTTGAAAACAGCATTCTCTGCTGGCTGCTATATCAAGATTGGTATTCTCAAGCTGCGCTTTGTTCTTCAACAACTCTAAGGACAAACTATCTCATTCGACTACTTCTCTGTGTGTGTATCTACCAGTTTACTTGCTCATGTGGAGAGAGCGGAAGAGATATATGGGTCGTGTTCGATGCGTGTTCCATCCAACAGAGTCTGAGAAATCTGTCATGTGTGGTTGCAAAAAAGCAACAGTGGATCAGTACCTCTACAATCGTATTTATGTATAATTATTTTCTGCGCGTGTACATTAGGATTATGAAAATAAAATACAAATTAGTTACAGGATTTAATCATGAGTTGACATTGGTTAGAGAACCATTAAAAAACCACCAGGGAGTACTGGACAACTGCTTCGTCAGCCTAGTTTAGGACTCTTCAGCAGTACGCACCTAGTGGAGTTTGAACACAGGACCTTCTGGTTACAAGGCGAGCTCATATACCAATAAGCCAACGGGAACCGATCCAATGGCCAGGTCATAAATTATAACTTCTGCCAATTCACGATACGGCGTACTGCTGAAGAGTCCCATGATGAAATCTTGTAATTAGTCAACCATATCCCTATAAACTAATATTTGAAAATAAAAATTAGTTAGTGTTATTGTTCACTTCGTCAGAGTGTTTCAAAAATTAGACGAATAATCAAATTGTAACTGAAATGATGAAGGGGTAAAGTTTGACTGGTATCGACGAGGATTGTGTAATATGAAATGGAGAATGTTAATGGAAGATCATGAGAACACGTGTGAGAAATAAATTGTGTAATAGGTTGAGGGAGTGATTAAACGGTTGGGGTAAAGAAAGAGATTTTACTAGAAGGTTATTCATAAATGCAAAAATGCCCAAAATACATTAATAGCGTATCAAAAGAACGTTGGATTATACTCATGGTAGAAGGAGGGGATGGAGAGCTTCCTTACGTGTACATAAATCTGAATTTTCTATCCACATCGCTAAGGCCTCAGCAATGCAAAGTATGCGGAAGCTTCTCGTTTTCAACAGGAGGCTTCTTTTGACTTTGTAGTTAACTTTGAATTAATTCTCCCTGCATATTGAGTGACTAGTGTTGAACACATATTCTCCTCATTGATCCACTGTTGCCTTCTTGTAGCTATGCGGGATAAGATTCTTTGACCCTGTTGGATGGAACACGCATCGAACAACCCGTATATCTCGCCCGCTCTCTTCACATGAGCAAGTAAACTGGTAGATACACACACAGAGAAGTAGTCGAATGCGATAATTTGTCCTCAGAGTTGTTGAAGAACAAAGCGCAGCTTGAGAATACCAATCTTGATGTAGCAGCCAGCAGAGAATGTTGTTTTCAAGGAGTTGGATATTCTGCTCTATAGGAAGACGGCCAGAAGGTGTCGTTTGCAGGCCACATTCATGTAAAGCATGTTCTTTGGGACAGAGATGGGTTGTTGATTTTCGACTTTATGTCTTTTTCTGTGGGCTGTGTGTGTTTGGGATAGCCAATTTGGAGTAGTGTCTTCCTCAAGCAATTGATCTCTTCATGTATTAATTTTGTAGCTGCAGGTCCTACGGATTTTAGGCGTGATAGTCTCGATATGACTGTGTAAATTTGAGGTGAGTGGGAGAGGCATTGATGAATTTATGACCGACAGAAGATCAATGAAGGTATTCAGGCTTTCATTATTCTTTTATAAATTACAGATATTTATCACTCAGCTGACTAGAACACGGTGCTATAGAATTCAGAGGAATGCGTTTCTAGAAGGGCTTGACAATCGCGGCACTTGTTGAAAGTGACAGCAAAGATTTGCTTCTGAAGTCCTGTATTCTCTCTCCCCGGAACGCCGTATCTTTATTTTCTTTTCTCTCACCTTCCCATTGGAAAATAGGGCTTCAAGCTAGCGGTTTGGTGTTTTTGTAGCAGTGATTATTTTTACAGAATGGGGTTGCTAGCCCCACGCCTAATTTTTCCTTTTCACCAGCATTATTTCTGGCTTAGCGAGGTAAAGGAGTGCGTCTGTGGTCGCGGATCGAGCCCCAGACCATGTGGATGGTCGGCGAGCGTCCTAACCGCTGTGCCACCGACACACGCTGTAACTTTATAGCTTGTGTATTTGTTAGTTGTTTATTTTGTCAGAAATCCTGGATTCGATGCTACGACGTTTCATTACTAGTGAACATATATAAATGAAATATGGACTTAAAATATGGAATAGGCTTTACTTGCAAACTCCTTGTCAACGGTGTCATCCTTTAATTTTTGAAGTCCGCTTAGAAAGTCTGAAAGAAAAGAAAAAAGTTAAAACAAAAAATCAGGTAGAAAAAGTGATTTCAGTAAATTAAAAAATCTCCATAATTTAACCAGAAATCAAGATGATTTTAAGCGAACCATTCTGGTTACAATAAATTCTTCCTCAGGCTCTACACTGTTATAAATCCATGAATCCATTGAAATAAAAATAGCCAGTCATTCGAAGCATGTGAAAATTATATCGGAAACTGTATGTATATATGTATAACATGGGATAATAGTTCGTTATTTAATACTGTCCAATGAACGTATATCAAAAATGCACAATCATTCGGAATATAGAATAAGATATAGCGCTACCACAGAGATGTTCACTGGACATTAGTGAAATAATTTATTATTTATTATTATTATATCCTTTAGTTCCTAGAGGAACATAGGGCTTCAGCTGCGCGTCTTCATTGCGTTCGGTTTTCGGCCAACTTTTTCACCCTGCTCCAAGTCTGTCCACACGCTTTCATCTCCTCTTCAAATGATCTCCTCCAAGTCCATCCTGGACGACCAACTCGCCACTCCACTGGAGCAATGGCCTGTCTAGTGATGTCACTTGATGATTGGTTTCCTCAAAGTATGGCCAATCCATCTCCATTTCTTCCTGCCTATTTGTTTCACATTCGGTTCCTGCCTGGTTCACTTACTGCCAGAGATCCCTGTTGGTGATCTTTTCTGGCTGGCCATCTGATCTCGAGTATTGAGCGAAGACAACTGTTAATGAAGGTCTGAAGTGTGTTTGAGATGCTCTTTATGACGCTCAGTGCAAGTCTCTGATCCGTATAGTACCACCGACTGACTTCACACTGAAGTTGAAAATCTGAATCTTATTTTTGATGCTGGGTGTGCTATTGACCTCCACACAGACTTAAGAGTAATGAAATTTTGTCTTGCTTTTCCGATTCTGGCTTTGATATCCTCGTCAGTTCCGTCCACCTGTATATGAAACGATGTTTCCCTGTTAGGTAAGTGAAGGAGGTTGTTTCTTTCAGGTTCCTCCCATTTATGCTGGCTTATTGTCGTCTGTTGTTGTTTCTGTTGGTGTTGGCCAGGAATCTTCATCATCTCTGTTTTATCTATGTTCACTTGAAGTCCTTATCTTTGATGCTTCTTCCGCCAATTTGTTGCTTTAAAGTTCTATCTACAAATTAATTATTTTACATATAAAGGAAATTTATATAGACAGGCAAATGGTGCTGTTATAGGTTCACCATTGTTTCCTCAAAAGTTGCTTATCTTTTCATGAATAGACTTGTAGGTGACATCTTTTCAAGCATACTCACTCCTAAAATATGGTTAAGATATGTAGATGATACTTTTGAAGTGATTTAAAGGAGATCTACACAGTTCATTCTTGTAAAAAATAAAGAATCTTTCCCCCAGAAACCAGTTTACGTCGGAATTAGAATCAGAAAGACCATTTGTAGACTGTCTGATTTAGAGGAGGGAAAGGGGACATTTTAATATATCCATATTTAAGAAGAACACCCACTGCACTAATTATTTAGACTACGGGTCATCACAGCCTATCAGTGCAAAGGCATCATTTGTTTCAAGTCTTCTTAGACGAGCACACTCTTCGATGTTAACAGATGAGAAAGAAAAAGAAGAAGAAATATGAAACATTACTGAGACTCTCAAGCAAAACAACCATTCAAAGAACTTCATCAACAAAATCAACACTGACATTAAGTATGGTAGAAAATGTATTCCGAAAACATGGACCACAACCGGTGTCATTCTGTATAGAACGAAGATGTCAGACGATATCAGAAGAGAACTCAATATGCTGGACATTAGGGTTCTCTTCAAAACATCGGACACACTTCAAAGCAGCCCTGTCTATATAAAAGACTGAATCTCTAAATCCCTTAAATTAAAGAGTATTGTCTAATGTTCAATTATTGCTTAAGTCATTCTGGATCGATCATTCCTTGACACGATAGCACGCCAAAAATCCATAAATCTAGACTTCTATTTCATTCTACTTTAGACATAGTCTGTTCAGTGTGTTATTATGTCACAAAGTGGATAACAGAACTCATGGAACATATTGAGAAGTCAAGTCTGTACATATTCTTGAAATGATACTTTTGAATTTATGAATGGTGTTAATGATAATTAATGTTACTGGGAAAGCTATGCTACCACTTGATGTATAATGATTCCTTCACGTTCCCAGTGGAACATAGGGCTTCAGGCTAGTGGCTTGAAGTTTCTGTAGCACTGTTTATTTTTACAGGATGGGGTTGCTAGCCTCATGCTCAACCTTTCCTCTTTACCAGGATTATTTCTGGCTTAGCGAGGTAAAGGAGTGCGTCGGCCGGTGATCGAACCCCAGACTATATGCATGGTCGGCGAGCGTCCTAACCACTATGCCACCGACGTACACCGCTTGATGTATATTCGGTATTTATTAGTAGTCCATTAAGTGAAACAGTATGCCTAATCTGTAATTATATCGACTTACATAATGTGAACATTTCAACGCCTACAGCATACCTAAAAGAACTCATACTTCGATAAACACTAAGTGCACAATTTCTTTTCATCAGATAAATCTATAGACAGTGAGGCGGGTTAGGTATGAGTTCACCACTTGGTATGTTGTTGGCAGACTTCTTTTTGGCTAGTGCTCACAGCAGTACTCTTTTATTTGCTTTAAAAAGGACTTGACGTCTACGAAAGATATATGGATGATACATTGATTTTATATGATGAAAACTGGGATTTTGATGATTTCCAGAAAGTGTCCAGTGACAGTCATCCTGTTATCGACTTCATCTCAGAAAGCAAAACTGATACGAAAATATCTTTCCTTGATACGCTAATCATAAGGAGAGCTGGTTGTTCTTTGAAACGCTTCATTTTTGGGAAATCGACGTGGATGAGACAATTGACCAATCTTTACAGTTCTCTCACCATAGACAGAAAAAGGAATCCAATCCGTTCTCTTTCAACATGGATCCGAAGAATTTGTAGTGAGGACAGTGTTGTTGATGAACTAATACAGTGGGAAGAAACCTTCGTAGAGAAAGGGTATCCAAAACACTTCTTAGAAGCCAATATGAAATAACTTAGGTGGCTTAAACAACATTGCACCTAAATTTACAATATAGGGGTGACACTGAGTGAGAGTGAGGTACTTAACAACTTTCTGAAAAAGATCACTGAGAAAAAGACATTCATTGCTGCCGCCTATACGGTGACCTGCTCTTGAGAAGCGAGGCACATAGGACGTTCACCAAGAAACATATCCTGTCGCCACGTTTGACAGCAGCTCACGGTTTGACTGAGTAACGAAGAGCGTTGAGGTATTAATTCATTGATATTGCAACATATTGTAGACACTGACCACGCAACATTTGACACACCGTTCAATATAGTTTACAAAGTCCAACAAAGTTTGCCGTAAGGGACACGGATGCATTTGCTTTGTATAGAAGAGGCTTTGGCAAAACATAAGATAAAGCCAGCGCTTTGTGTACAAAATCAATTTGTACGATCTCTTCCGTTGCTATAGTCTTGATTTTACTATGTAATCCACATAACAACTTTATTGTCATTCTTTATTCCGTGTTCCAAATTTTTCGGCTTGGTTTCATTTCACTTTATGTTATCATATTCTAACAGTTTTTTCTAGTCTACTATTTTGGCAACATTTCACTTATCCTATTACATCTGCATTACATGGTATTCACAAATTCACATTTCTGAATGTACTTTATTTTCTGACCACCTATTTCACACATGCCTTCTATTGAACTTTAAGTTGACCTCTATTGTATTGCTGGATGGCAACTATCAGTGGAATCCAGAAGGTGCGTTTCGTCCTATCTCGTACTTGTCCCACCAAGGCTAGGACCTAGTGCCAACAGTTTCAAACGCAAAAAACCTTTATCCACTCGGTGGGAACATCATCACTCACTGGGAAATTTAGGTACATCCAGATGACGAGTTTCACATAGGACAAAATGCTCATCCTGGTTGGATTCCACTGCCAGTGACCATCCACCAATTAAATACTTATTAAATGCCTAAACATCTTGGAAGTATCTGCACAAGAAGCCGACATGTCAACCTGAGACTGAGCACTTCGTTCCAATCGATCGACGGGAAAATCTTAAATTCAATTAGACCTCTATTTATTTAATTAGTTATTCATCCATCTATCTAATCAATAGTGATTCAAAATCCCGTGCACCGAAAATATCGCACACGAGGTGTTCAACTGATTGTCAAACGTTTACAGACACACTCAACCTATTCCTCTTTATTATTTGCTTAGGGTTTAGACTTGGAGGAATTTTTCAAATAATTTATGTTCCTGCGACTAGATAAAAAAATTACACTCGAAAATACCACTTTGATATGACGTGAAGGAAAAGGCGAATATTACAGTGAACAACCAATTAAGCTGACGAAAACATACCATCGGCCTGATTATTCATAAAACTCCGTTAGGTTCCAAGCGGAATATACAAATCCACAAAAATATCTCCAATTTCTTAACATTCAGTCAACTAATCCTGACGTGGCCACAACATTGCCTACAGTCACTGCAATCCTCTTTACACGATCTCACCAATGTCACTTTTAGACACAAGTTAAACTCATTAATTCCACGTAAAGTTCTCATTCAACCCATGGCCTAATATACCATGTCATTCCATGGTCTCCTCAGTAGACTATAAACAATACGTCTCCATACTTTTCGCTACATTTATTGAGCAACAGTTTCTTGGTTGATCGGTGTTGTACCAATTAATTCCTGACTGCTGATTTAGTCTGACAAGCCTGCCACGATATCTTCAATGTGCAGCAAAGGTGGCGCCATCTGAGTACAGTTTGCAGTAGACTAATCGAAATGCAAGTATTTCATCTCCATGTTCTCTATATTCACGTGGAGTCTTGTCTTCTGTGGCTGGTTATTCTGTTACCTGGTTGCTTTTCAAATTTTGTGTGACAGTATACTTTATTCATCCACGCGCGAGATCCACATCTTTCAGAGACTTCTTATCGCTCCCGACAGTCTTCGCATAATCCAGTTCACCACAATTAAGATTATCACCAGTGGTAATAGACACGTGATGTTATCTTACTCCTGTGATCACTTCAAACGCCTCGCTGTATTTTCCATTGTGGATCACTTGAAATAAAGTACTTTCATATAGTTTTGGAATGAGACTGATAAAGCCTTCCAGTACTGCACCCCAAAGTACTGATGTAGTTTCGAAATTACTTTGCTGTCAACACTGTCGAAGGCCTTTTGAAAGGCGGTGAAACTGATGCTTAGTTCATGATTAGTATTATTATTATTACTGTGAGACATGCATTATTCTGCTATTACCTTTTAATTTTTGAAGTTTTGTTATTTTTGCTATTTTGTGTAATTATATAAATACAGGTAATTTATGACTTATTCATACGTCATCTTAGTGATAATTATGACGGAATTCATCACCTAATCTTCCCAGGACATCCGAAAAGTTTGAGAATAGCGTCCCAGGAGTGCAAATGCTCGAATGACCTTAAACGCATGCTAATGGTTGGCTAAGGAAACCTACGAATAATCAAGGGGAAAAATGAACGCTGTTCATCAGCTCAGGTGCAAATTTCAATCAGATCATGTATTCTAATACTGTCAGGATAATAGATTGATAGGACGTACTCGGATATGTAGTTGAGATGCTTCAATGAGCCTGCAATCATATTCACAGGTCATTGATGGATATATATTTAGATGTACGGAGTGTAGTAGACGAACAAGTATTCGTACTGGTAAGTAACACACTCATTTGATTGTCGTCTAGGAACTATATTTTGGAAAATCAATACTATGTTTGACGAATATACTACTTCTTTCCTATTACTGGATTTTGAAGTCTGGAGTGAGGTCAACTGTCATTCAGACAGAAAATACGTTGACATCTACTGTGCAGTGGTTTCAGTTTTGTCAAGACTGAACATCATGGAAAATGAACAATATTTCACAGGAGTCAGTTTTATCGTTCACATGAACGAAACAGTGCTTATAAAGAAGGATTACAATCGCAAAGGTGCTAGAGCTAACAACGTTTACGTGTTGGGAATTTATGACACCCAAATTTAGAAAGGATTCATTGAACTTATTCAAGACAAGAGCGTTGACATTCTCCTGCCTATTATTCAAAGACGTATTTTGCCTGGCACTACTATATACACGGATAAATGGGCAGGATATAACCGATTATCGGATTTAAGATATATATACACACACAAAATCGAGTTAACCGTTCCACTGATTTCGTCGATCCCAGAATAGGCACTCATACTAATTCAGTAGGATGTTTCTGGGGAAGAATAAAAAATGGAATAAGAGCAATAGGTGGCTCTCAAAACCAATTTATTTTTACTAACCTGGATGAATATATGCGTAGAAATTGGTCAAATTTAAAAAATGACAATTCCAACTATAATTGGTACATATTTTTAGCTCATATAAGGGAAAAATATCGTGTTTAATATTTTTTCATAATTTGTTGTGTAAATATATGTAATTTAGGTGTGATAGAGAAGATTTGTAGCTCAGGAGTTTATTAATCATGATTAATAAACTCGTGGAGAAGTCTAAAAGCTCATTTGAAATTGAAATATGCTCTGAAGATGTTGTCTAATAGGGCAATGAAAGCTTCGCAAATTAACTATCCAGCTCAGAGAACACAACCACATTAAAATATATGTAATGTTTTGTGCAGAAATCCCTCACTTTTCTGATTGGTCGGCTCAAGGTCACTCTTGCGCTTGCATCCGTTGAAACACCATTGTGGAACATTGCCAGGTCATCTAGTAGGCCGTCACGATCCAGATTTTCATCCTATTGTTCAATCACCACTCAATCCTTTACCTTCTGAGTGGGATGAAAGGCATTAAGCTTGCTTTGTTTAGTTTCACTAGTAGATTAGGTGGGGTTGATGGCTTCAAGATACACATACACGTAATTTCCTTTTCTATCGTATTTACTAGAACCGGTTAGTCAATGATGTTTTGGTGTGTGTCAGTCAGTGGTCGGCAATCAAATCCCCAGAGAACACAGTAAGAAATCAAAACTAAGGCAAACTAAGGTAAAAATCTAATCCAGAGAATAATAAGAAATTCACCAACCTTCATTCTGTTTTAAATTCCGTTCGATATCTTCTTTTTCTACAAGTAACTTCTGTCTAGCGCTCGCATCTAATCATAAGGCAGATAATGAATGTGTAAGAATTTGTTACATACACCTGGTTTAATTGCCTAATTTTACCTGAAACCATCAAATATCTATTTTAAACCATTATCGTGTACTGGCATGGGCTTTTTGTTGTACCCACTGTTCGGATTGTTGGGTTCCTATTTGCTGTTACTACTTTTAATGCATCACTGAACTACTGAATTTTCAAGGGCATTCTGGTTTTTTATTATATATTTCCAAACTGAATTCAACACTAGCGAAGAGGTCGGCGTCGAAAAGCACTGGGACAACTTGAAAACGGTGTGGAGCCAAACCCGCATAGAAGTTCTAGGCGGAAAGAAGAAGAAGGACAAACAGTGGCTCACTGCGGACACTTGGAAACTAATAGAAGAGAGAAGGACAGTGAAACAAAAGATTATCCAGTTTACTGACGAGCAACAAAAACAGGAGTTGAATGCAAGCTACAGTACGCTGAAGAAAAGAGTGAAGAAGAGTGCCAGGGAAGACAAAAGAAAATATTACGAAGCCATGGCAAGTGAAGCAGAAAAAGCCGCAGTGCAGGCAAAGGAGACATCACCACACTCTACCAAACAACTAGGAACCTATCGGGCAAAAGTTTGACACCGAATAAGTCAATCTAGAATGACAATGGAAAGTCAATCACCAAAGAAATGGGCTAAGAAAAACAGTGGGCTGAACACTTCAAATTACTTCTAAATCGATCGCCACCAACAACGCGATCAATAATACCAACAACGGTAGCAGAACTACTAGTGAACATCAACCCTCCGATGAAAACAGAAGTCCTGAAGGCAATCGATATGTTGAAAGCTGGAATAGCAGCAGGACCAGATGGAATCCCAGCAGAAGCATTGAAAATCGACTCAGAGACAACAGCGGTATCGACGACGCAATCGCTGGAGAAGGTGTGAAAAGAGAGCAAAGTACCCGAGGATTGGAAGAAAAGATACTTATTCAAACTACCAAAGAAAGGAGACTTAAGGCAATGCAAGAACTGGCGCGGAATTAGGCTCCTATCCGTCTCAAGTCAAATACTAAGCCACATCATCCTGGGGAGAATCAAACACGCCGACGTGGATGAAAAACTCCGACCAGAACAAGCTGGATTCAGGAGAAACAAGTCATGTATTGATCAAATCGCCACACTATGGGTCATTATTGAGCAAAGCTTGGAATTGCAGTCACCTCTCTATCTCAACCTCATCGACTTTGAAAAGGCCTTCGACAGCGTCGATCGAGAGGTGATTTGGAAACTACTTCGCTATTACGGGGTCCCATCGATAATTATACGTCTCATTCAGCAGTTATACGACAGTGCTGCATGCCAAGTAATCCACCACGGGAAACTTACGGAAGCCTTCGCGAAGATGGTAGGACGGGAGTGAGGCAGGGCTGTCTACAATCGCCAATGATCTTCCTGATTGCAGTAGATTGGATAATGTGACAGACAACGGGTAATGAGGAAACAGGCATAAAACGGACTCACACACACAAAAAGCTTGGAGGATCTGGACTTCGCCAACGATGATATATGCCTGATTTCCCACAAACTGGAAGATATGCAAGTGAAAAGCAATAAGCTGGCAGAAGAAGCATCAAAGATAGGACTTCAAGTGAACATAGATAAAACAGAGGTGATGAAGACACCTGGTCAACACCAACAGAAACAACAACAACAGACAAAAATCAGCCAGCATAAATGGGAGGAACCTCAAAAAGAAACAACCTCCTTCACCTACCTACCAGGGAAACATCGTTTCATATACAGGCGAACGGAACTGACGAGGATATCAAAGCCAGAATCGGAAAAGCAAGACAAACTTTCATAACTCATAAGTCTGTGTGGAGGTCAACAGCACATCCAGCATTAAAAATAAGATTCAGATTTTCAACTCCAATGTGAAGTGATTCAGTGCTACTATACGGATCAGAGACTTGGCGAGTCATAAAGAGCACCTCAAACAAACTTCAGACTTTCATTAACAGTTGTCTTCGCCCAATACTCGAGATCAGATGGCCAGCCAGAAAAGATCACCAACAGGGATCTCTGGCAGTAAGTGAACCAGGCAGGAACCGAATGTGAAACAAATAGGCAGGAAGAAATGGAGATGGATTGGCCATAATCTGAGGAAACCAACCATAAAGTCACATCACTGGACAAGCCATCGCTCGAGTGGAACCCGAAAGGGAAACGGCGAATTGGTCGTCAGTGCAAGGGTGACCTGGGGAAGGTCATGTGGAGAGGAGATGAAAGCATGTGGGCAGACTTGAAGCGGAGTGAAAAAGTTGGCAGAAAACAGAAGGCAATGGAGACGCGTGGCTGAAGCCCTATGTTCCTCAAGGAATTAAAGGATATAATAATAATAAACCAAATTCACTTTTCACAGTTTGAAGAAATTTTAGCATTGGGTATATGATATTCATTATTAATAAACTGTTTTGTATTACTCAATGAGTGAATGAAAAAATAAAACGATGTTGCTGTTTTTACTGACGTTTCGCTATTTAATGCTACTGCTGATAGCTTTATCAAAGTATTATCAAACCACAATTTACAAAATCTCCTCATCCTGTTATATATAACAACTTAATCCTCAATCCTCAGCATGGGGTAGTTTACTTTGTCGTTGTCTTATTGGCCAGTTAATAAAGATAACAAAACCAACCAAGTGTAGATGCCTGCTGGGTTTCATAAGTGTGTGAAATTATAAAAGCAGCGTGTATTTATATATTGAAAGTGATTATCACATTCGTGTTGATTTTGTCACTTCATTGAGGAGTGGTGGAGTGTGTTTCAACCAGGTCAAATTCTGTTTAGGTCCATCATTTCTATTCACCTCAGACAATTTGGATTCTATTTGATATGAAGTGCTTCTGATGGTATTAGACGTTCTTTGTGATTTCTGAAAAGCCTTATCTGGATTATTTCAATATTGTGAAACTCAATATTGTGACCTGATCCTATAGCGTGTAGACAGATCTATGGCTGATGAATTTTCAAGCTTTCCTAGTTCAAGTGGATTTCTCGAATGCGGAACAGAGTCGGGTTTCCAGTGTTCAATTTTTGTGATTTTGATTACTAGCTGGCGTTGTTTGTCCGATGTATATCGCATCACACTTCAAGACAGCATTTTTGTTTTATAGACGCAATTCGATAGTGAATCTTTAGGAATTTGGTCTTTTATATGGACAAGGTTGCTTCGGAGTGTGTCTGATGTTTTGAATAAAATTTTTATGCCCAGCATATTGAGACCTCTACTGAAATAATCCAGAAAAGGATTTCAGAAGTCGCAAAGAACGTCTAATACCATCAGAAGCACTTCATATCAAATAGAATCCAAATTGTCTGAGGTGAATAGAAATGATGGACCTAAACAGAATTTGACCTGGTTGAAACACACTCCACCACTCCTCAATGAAGTGACAAAATCAACACGAATGTGATAATCACTTTCAATATATAAATACACGCTGCTTTTATAATTTCACACACTTATGAAACCCAGCAGGCATCTACACTTGGTTGGTTTTGTTATCTTTACCAACTGGCCAATTAGATATCGCAGAAATGACCCCATAATGACAAATAATTTTGTTATAAGTAAGCTGAGATTTTGTAAATTTTGGTTTGCTAATACTTCGATTATGCTATCAACGGCAGCAATAAACAGCGAAACGTCAGTAAAAACAGCAATGTCGTTTTGTTTTTCATTCATTCATTGGGAAATCTAAAAATGTCTTTTATTATAATGAACATTCTAATTGTATACATACACAGCTTCTGTCTAGCGTCTTGACTGTTTTTTGCGACAGTTAAAGCCCGCTTGTCGACATCAAGTCTTTTCTTTAGTCTTTTCGTTCCCGTGGTGTTATTGTTGTTGTTGCTAACGTGCGATTGGGGTAGATTAGCCAGCGGATTAAGTCGGTGTTCACTCATAACAATAATGTTTTTCGAGAAACAGACTATGTTTAACAGATTTACTTTCAAGTAGAGATTAGTTTTCGAAACCTTACCTGTTGCTTCTCTGATTTTGGCTTCGATTTCTTTCAAATCATCTGTAATGTGAAGTGTGTTTAAGTGTATACATATTATAACTTATTTATATTTATTTATTATATTATAAACTAACGACTGCGTTTCACTGGTATTCAGTTAGGTGTTATTCAAATACGCAAGGTGATGAGTAAACTGTTTCAATGGAACGTCTTGATTCCTCTTAGTTCTCTAACATCACTTTCAGTCAGCTATCTTGAATACACTTCCCAGATAAATTTGTTTCCCTGTTATGCGATATTTTCGCATATCAGCTTAAAAAATTATTGGAATTCTAATAGTGGACCTGGAGGGTATAATCACTTCAAATTCTCCTCGATGTCGTCTATTCTGTTCAAGTTCAGAAGAGGGAAGATTTATTTTATTTTCCATGCTGTGAGGCTTCTGTGGTCATGGGTTTGTTTCTAGTTAAAGGGTGATATCGCTATTCTTATATTTCGAAACTTCTCTCTGTGTTCTAAGGGTAGAAGCCAACTGATTCACAGTTCCTAGTGGAACATAGGGCTTCAACTAAACGTCTCCATTTTCTTCTATCTTCTGCTATACTTTTCGCCTGCATCCATGTGAATCCATATTCTTTCAACTCCTCTTCACACGATCTCCTCCATGTCACCCTTTGACGTCCCACACGCCGTTTCCCTTTCGGCCTGGTTCCACTCGAGGGCTTGGCGCGCGATGTCACCCAGCGGTCTCCTCAGCGAGTGTCCGATCCATCTCCACTTTCTCCTGCATATTTGTTGGGCGATTGGTTCTTGCTTTGTTTGTTTCCATAATTCCTTGTTGGTGATTGTTTCCGGCCATCTGATCTTCAGTATTGAGCGAAGACAGTTGTTAATAAAGGTCTGCAGCCTTTTGAAAATATTCTTCTTGACCAACCCGCCAAGTTTCTGATCCGTATAGAAGAACTGACTTACTTGACGTTTGTATTGAAAATCCGAATTTTGTTGGTGATGCTGAGTGACGAAGATTTCCAGATTGATTTCAGCCTGATGAATGTGTTTCTCGCCTTCCCGATTCTCAATTTGACATCCTCGTCCGCTCCTCCTGTAGTTGAGACAATGCTCCCTAGATAAGTGAATGAAGTAGCCTCTTTCAAATCCCTACCATTGATGGTGATTGACGTTGGATGTTGTTGCTGTTGGACATTTAAGGTGACCAGAACAAGCTGTATTCAGGAAAGGCAAATCATGTTCCGACCAAATTGAAACTCTACGCATCATCATCACGGAACAAAGCATGGAATGGCAGTCAAACCTCTACCTCAACTTTATAAACTTTGAGAAGGCCTTCGACAGGCAGCGTTGATCTTGTAGTAATTTGCAAACTACTCGAGTATTACGGTGTACCCCAAATATTCATCAACCTTATTCAACAGCTGTACGACAACGGAACATGTCAAGTGATCCACAACGGAAAACTCAGTGAGGCGTTTGGAGTAAACACAGGTGTCAGATAAGGTTGCCTGTCTATTATCACCAATGATGTTCTTAATTGTGGTGGACTGGATCATGTGTCAGACAGTTAGTGGGAAATGAGAAGACAGGGATATCCCAGACCGACATGAAGAGCCTAGAAGACCTGGATTTCGCGCGTGGATGATTTATGTTTGATGTCACACAAAATCGAAGACTTACAAGCGAAAAACGACCGACAATTCGGTCGAAGAAGCAGCTGGCGAAGACAGGACTACAGGTGAACATAGACAAGACGGAGGTGATAAAAATAACTAACCAACAACAACAGCAGAAACATTCAGCGTCAATAACAATTAACGAGAGGGATTTGAAAGAGGTTACTTCATTCACTTATCTAGGAGCATTGTCTCAACTACACAAGGTACGGAGGAGAATGTCAAATCGAGAATCAGGAAGGCGAGGAACTTGAAATTAATCTGGAAATCTTCGTCACTCAGCCAGCATCAACAACAAAATTCCGTCGGATCTTCGATACAAAAGTCAAGTCAGTTCTTCTATACGGATCAGAAACTTGGCAGGCGGGTCACAAAGAATATTTCCAACAGCCTGTTGCAGACCTTTATCAACCAACAACTGTCTTCGCTGGCTCTATATTGAAGATCAGATGGCCGGAAAGAATAACCAACAAGAAACTATGGGAACAAACAAAAGAAAAACTAATCGGCCACGAAATATGCAGGAAAAAGTGGAGATGGATTGGCCATACTCTGAGGAGTCCACTGGGTGACATCGCGCACGCGTCAGGCCATTGCTCGAGTGGAACCAGGCCGAAAGGGAAGAGGCGAGTGGGACGTCAGTGCAAAAGTGACATGGGGGAGATCGTGTAAAGAGGAGCTGAAACTGTATAGACTAACATGGATGCAGGTGAAAAGTACAGCAGAAGGAAGACAGAAGCAAATGGAGACGTTTAGTTGAAGCCCTATGTTCCACTAGGAATCCATGGGAACAATAGTGATGATAACGTGAATCATTCACGATTAGAAGATTCCGGGAGATTTGGTTTTTGCGTGTGGATAATACTCTCACACAATTTCGAAGATTTTTACAGGCGCAAAGCCAGCAAGTTGGAGGACTGAGCAGTCATGGAAGACAGAACCCCGAGGTGAACATAGAGAAGACCGTGGTGATGAAGATAACCAACCAACCAATAACAACAACAAGAACAGTAACGATCAGCGGCAACAATCACTTTGAACAAGAGAAATTCTAAAGATGCAACTGTCTCCACTCATTTAGGCGGCTTTGTTTCAGCTGCAGGTGGAACGCATGTATATATGAAAGGTGGGAGGAATCGGAAAGCTTAGTCACAGTTTCATAAATCTGTGATCAGGTTTTTGGAAATTTTCCCCAGTCTACATCACAAAGAAGTCAGTTCATGAGCCAGTAAGTTTGTCATTCAGTGCTAGTGTTTAGCTCAGAACCATGCAATGTCTCTGTGTGTGTCTGATGAGAAGCATTTGGAACAGGCTACTGCAGACTTTATTCAGCTTGTGGCTACATGTTAAAATATGAATTACCGGTGTGCTTTTTGGAGGCAGCGACACCAAATGTAACAACAGAAGACAAGGGCTGGCAACAGATCGTTTTATTACGAAAATCAACACGTATTTATATATATTTTATGTGCATTAATAAGGCTTATGCAAGCAGAAAAAGGCAGTCTTCTGATTGGTTGTTTCTGGAAAGTTAAGCAGACAAACACAGTCTTATGATTGGTTGTTTTCGATATTTCTCGGAAAGTAGAGCCATCTATCTGCGAATCATATTTGTCCACATTTAAGTTCGCTGTGATTGGTTGTTGAAACAGCCTTGTTCATATTTTCTCACGGCCCATATTAGTGACCTAGACATTAACGTAGATTAGTGTCAACCAATCGGCTAGCAGCCTGCTCTCACCACACCGGCTTACCAGAAGGAATGAGTATTAAGGAATTATTCGATACACCCTGACCAGTTAAGAACCTATTTCCCAACAAATAATGTGAGGCGAGAACGGGAAAATATATTTATATTTGGCAGCGGTTACTGAGAAGACCATGGAGTTACATTGCGCATCAGGCGATTGGTGGAGTGGCACCAATTTAGAAACAAGGAATGAGTGATTCCAGTGTGACATGGAGAGAATCGTGCAAGGCCGAATTCAATGAATAGCCGTGAGGTGTTGTGGTCAAGTGAGGAGTAATTGATAAAATGTGAGAAAGTGGAGATGTTCTTTTGAATTCATTGTTTCCGCTTGGAACCCCGAAGAACAATAATAAATAATATTATTAACCAATGAAATACATAGTTGCTATGGAAATATAACCAGGATGTTGGACACATTTATTTTGTCAAAAAACACCCCGGCGAATTTCTCATTCATGTAACGTCTTACATTGATAATCTTCAATAATTTCATCATAATCAAGCATATCATCTTCGAAGGCTAGAACTGTAAGAAAGTAGAAAAGAACCGTGATGAAATTACATTTTTAGACATGTTGACTGTTTAGGCTTGTCTTATTGTCAAGCATAAGTCATATCTTATCAATAAGTGAAGTCGTATCGAAATACTCTGCATTTCATTTGAATATTGTTCACTTGCGTTCCGATTGGAATATAATGCTTCGTCAACACGCCCCTAATTTCTCCCATGTTCAGCAGGCCTCACACACAAGCTGGCCAAATGTTTGCTTAGAATGCCTCATGTTCTTCTCCCACGATCTCCTACAATGTCACATCCGTTTTTTCCCTCTCGGATTCTACTAGAACGATAGGCTGTTTCCTGATTTCATTCGACAGTCTCCTCAGCAGCACGTGCCTAATCCAACTCTAATTTCTTCCAAATAATCCAAATCAGCTCTAGAGTTGGTTTTTTGCTAGCGCTTCTTGTTGCAAATTCTTGCTAGGTATTTGATCTTAAGTATTAAGCATTGTGGAACTGTTGATGCGAGTCTGCAGTGGCCTGTTGGAAATGCTTTCCAAGAAGTGCTAAGTTTCTGACGCATAAATATACTTTTTTTTATTTTAATTTTGTTCACTTTTCCTGACGAAGTTTAGACCAGTTTGTCGAAAGAAACTTTGGAATTATTTTTATTTCAGTTTCGCTGAGATTTTGCAAATATAATCATTTTACACATTTTTGTTTTCTACGGTTGGTTTGTGAGGATTAGTTTTGTTTTTACGAGTTGATCACGGATCGATGTCAGTTAGAGAACTATTGAAAACCACTCGGGTGTACTGGAGAGTGAGCCGGTTCATCTATCCTATGTTGACAATCATTGGCAGTACACAACCACCACCAGGGTTCAAACCCAGGACATTCTGGTTACAAGGCAGCCACTGGGACTTGACTCCTCGATGGCCGGCCCATGAAGTCTAACTTCTACCAATTCATGGTGCATTTAGCGCGATCACCAACCAATGTCATTGCTGGAGCATCCATCCTTCCACTTGAATGAATAGACCCCACTGGTCACGACTTCAAACGCCAGTGATTTCCGAACTAGGATGAAACAGCTGGCTATCCAGTGCTACCAGCTAGTTTTCAATGGTTCTCTAACTGATATCAATCCGTGATCAACTCGTAAGAACCCCTTTTTTTTATTCTAGTTAGATTTTATTTCTATGCGAAAAAATGTTTAAACTCAGTCCTTTCTTTCAAGAGTATTCGTGAAATTCTTCTTATAAATAGTCAATCCTTTTAACTCCTAATAACTCAACATCATACGTCATACCGGACATATGTTGTTTATTATCCTCGTTGATTCCTTGTGTATCATATGGATCCGGCAACTCATTGTGTTTTCACTCTATTCCCTGAAGTGGTTTTTAAGTGACTTAATGAATACCCATCACACGGTCTCCTGCATTTAATCCGCTGACCCATACTGATCTCTTTATTTCCCGATACGAGTCCTACTTGAAGGTCTGTCTGGTGCAGAATATCATTCAGCAGTCTCCAGTCTCTCTTCGTTTACACTAGCATATTTGTTGGGCTATGGATTCTTGATTGATTAGTTGCCAGAGGTCTATATTATTAATTCTTTCTGGTTGGTTACCTAATCTTAAGTATACAGTGAGAGTGGGTGTTGATGAAATTCTTCAGTAGCATCCTGCTGGAAAGGTTTTTTCAGAATGTGACAAATATACAAGCCATACAGAAGTAATAATTTGAGATTATCATTATTATTATTATTATTTTTCTTTTATTCCTAAAGGGACATAGGGCATCAGTCGCAGTTGCTTCCAGGGTTCTGTGCCAACGTTTTCACCTGGCTCCACGTCTGCCCAAATGCTTTCATTTCCTTTACCCCCCCCACCTCCTCCTCCATGTCACCCTCGCACTGACAAACAACTCGCCGCTTCCCGTTCTAGTTCCACTCGAGTGATGTCCTGTCGTGTGGTGTCACTGACTTGATGGTTTATTTTCTCAGAGTGTAGCAAATCCACCCCCATGTGTTCCCATATCGGTTCTTGGTTGGTTTGTTCGAGCTCAGAGATCCCTATTGGTGATCTTTTCTAGCTGGCCATCTGATCTTGAGTAGAAATGAACGACGACATCTGTTGATGAAGGTCTGTAGTTTATTGTGGATTATTGTTGGAAACCTAAATCTTACTCCTTATACTGATTGTAGCCAACTCCTAGACTAATTTCTTTCATATTAATGAAGGTATATCTAACTTTGTCTATTCTGACTCTGGATTTGATATTCTCATCTATGCCAATGTCAATCGTGGAAAGGATGCTACTCAAACAAGCGAAATAATTGACTGTCTCGTTCAAATTTTTTCGGCTGATATTGACTGTAGCTTGTTGTTGTTTGTGTCGGTTAACATTATCATCCCTTCTATCTCCTCTATGCTACATTTCGCTCTTACCTGTTACTCCTTGTCATATTGTCCAGGATGTTATAAGTTGAAGTGAAATCCCAAAATAATTATGACAATAATAAATTACGCTCTGGTTATCCTGAAAAATATTAGTTCTTGTTGCTTTGTTTAAGTTTACTAATTAAAGGCGAATTCTGTGAAATATTTCAAAGATTAATAACTCCGGTCAACCGGCTTTCATGGAACAGTCTTAGAACTAATAAAATAAAATGGTCTATAAAAATGTTCGTCGGTGGTTCAGCGATAAAATGCTTTCCAACCACGGATTTCTATCCTGTCACTGACGAGGCACTCTTAGACCTTGCTAAGGCAGTAATAAGATTGGCGAACAAGGAAGGTTGGTCAGGTGGTTAGCAATCTCATCCAGGAAAAATTGAAAGAAAAAGGTTTAAAAAAACCCACTGCTACTGCTTGAAGCCGTATGTTCCGTTCGTAACGTTAAGGAATAAAATAACAGTGATAGTAATCATACTATAATCATATATAATATAACATTGGAATACAATATGACACAAAACTTTATTATGATCAAACCTGCTGATGAATTTTTTACTTTTTCCCAGGCCACATCTGTGAGTAGAATTCAAAATGAATATAATTATTTTTAAAAATTCAGTGAATACTTTTATGGTAAGTGTTCTGTGAGGTACAATTTTCATTAACAATTCTCATGCAACGGATTTGATAATCGGCTGACACTTTTTAAAACTCCTCGCTTAGTCGATAATAGGTCAAGTAAACAAGGTAAGTTAGGTGTGGAGTTGACAATCTCACCGAAACAAAACAGACGGCACCACGGCTCCTGAAACATACTTGTGCTTCACTTAGAAAGCAATAGTATCTCAGATGTATATTCCCTCCAGTTTCGAGGCTAATTATCTGAAATTACATGTATGTCGGGCTATAGTGTTCCCCTTGGGGCTCGAATTCTGTAAACGCCGAAAGCATGGACCCTATAATAAACCACTTGCTGAAGAGGGTCACATCACACCAGTAGGCACCAGAATTTCTTTGTATTTCCAACGAGCTCTCATCAGCGCACTAACCCATCGGATTAGAAAAATTTGCAGCAGCGATTGCTTGGAAGGGGAGCTCCTATTCCTCAAAAATATCCTGGCTCAAAATGGTTACCCGATTTTGTTTATGTCGAAAAGAACATGAAACCTTAACCTAAAAGAGAAGAATGCGATTCAGCTCCAAAGAAAACGCTGTATCTAAATCTGAATTTCAAGGGAGATTCGGCAGCTGATATCCTGAAGAGGAGAATATCCAGCTCTTTAAAGAAGACCTTTCCTGCAGCAACACTATGAGTGACATTCTCTAGCCGTCTAATACTTAAAAACAACACGAAGGACAATTTCTCTCATATGACCAATTCAATGTGCATATAAATATATTTTAAGTATGTTTCCATGCTTTTCCTGTTCACATTTATAATTCGTTTAAAATAACTATTTTACAATTATATCTTAATCCTGTGCAATTTTTGTGTTTCTAAGGCTTTGGTAATCTATGTTCACACCTCCTAACTTTCATTTCAAGCTCAAATTATTATTTCAAATTTTCAGTTGTAAAACTAGTAATTTCAAGTTTGTTTCCATGCTCCTCCTGATCACACTTGTAATTCGTTTAGAATAACCATTTTACAGTTATATTCTAATCCTGTGTAATGTTTTGTTTCTATGCCTCTTGTAATCTATCGATGTTTACACCTCCTAACTAACAATTCAAGTTGAGAAACATTTTGATTTCAATTTGTTTCCATGTTCATTTTGTTCACACCTGTAATTTGTTCTATTCCTGCGTTTCTAAGCCTCTTGTAATTCATATCAAGTTGAAAATTATTATCACCTTCGTTACTATGTGGAATTAAACAAATAATAATTGTATCCATGTGAAATAATTTATATAAATGCGATTGTAAAGCTTCTTTTGAGAGTGAAATCACCGAAAAGATAGTTGTCTTCGCTGAACTTCTTGTTCACTTCTTTCTAAAGTATTTCCAACTGACTACTTATATATAATGACCCGCATACTTCATTGTCTCTATTGCCATATCAGCTCTTAGTAAGAATGACTCGACTTTGCGGGTTAATCAGCTGAAATTACAGAATAACTTCAAGGCTGATAAGGTAGGATGCTTGAATGAGAGGATAGAGAACCCACCGCATAGAAAATACAAACCACTGTGCTCAGAACTTCAAAGCTCTAACTTGAAGCACTATTTACACTAAAAACGTAAAGGATTAAAAAAAACTAGTAATCTTAATTTGTTAATCATCGGCATTACGCACTCAACCACAGGGTTTAAACCCAAGGCCTACCAGTTACAGGACAAGCTCGCAGACCATTCAGCCACTGAAATCCAACTCCTCAATGGCAAGTCCAGGAATCCTAGCTTATACCAATTCATGATGCATGTAGCGCGATCACGAACGGATGTCATCGGTGGGAAAACCATCCTCACACTTGACTGGATGGACATCACTGGTCATGACTTTTCACAAGAACTCCAAGAAACTCTACTAAGTAGCAAGTCACTAGAATTACTTTAAAGTAAACATAGTGGGGATTTAAATCAAACGATTATGTAATCGAATAAGTGGAAGGGATGATAAGCTGAGTTACTACGGTAAGGAAAGACTGATCAGTGAACGCATAATATCAGGTTTAAACATTTAATAGCGATCATCGCATCAGAAAATTCGAAGAGACCCAGGTTTAGCTGTCTTTTTATTAATTTTGCAGCATTTCACGGTGTCTACTTCATGATATGTACTAGCAAGATGTTTGGCAGGTAGCAGTGTTCAAAGTACTTGTTCCTTTGAGACGCAAACTGTTTAGTACATGTTCAGAGAATGTGAGATATACCTCTTTTTTTCCTGTCAGCCTTCCCTATGTAACTCCTAAACCTGATACACATAAATTTGTACACACAGTTGGAGTCAACATGAAGAGGATATCTGTCGACCTTTGTTTGCAACATTGGGTATGTTGTTCGTTCAACAGGAACCATCTTGACTGAAAAATTGGTTCCAACTAGAGAAGTATTCAATCTTCCACTAAGCATTCCTGAAATACCTTTTTCGCTTTTAAAATCGCATCAAACGAAAGCAGGTTTCTTATTTAACTGTAATTTGTCTAACATTTGGATTGTCAAGATATTTCATACTGGTTGATGAATATCAAAGGGCAATAATTGTTTTTCAGAACCTTCTGAATGTTTAGGAGTTCTTCTGTCAGTATTTCCATGGAGCATATCCTTATGGTTCTGTAAAAAAGAGTTTTCACTAGTGCTCGTGGAGGTCTTCATTGAATTGATTTTTGACAAATTCCATTTTGCAATTACTGTGTATTGTGATATCAATTTCTTGTGTCATAATGCAGTCAATATTTTCATGTGTTTCATTGAATAGTTTATGTAGATGAGATGTATGACTGTCATTAAAACGTAATTTGAAAGTGTCATCGGCCTGTGAACATTAAGCATTCGTTTCATCGATTGTACCATTCATCTTTGTCTTCTGAAGATTAGAAGTAATAATGTCTGCTAGTAAGGGGCCTGGTGGACTATCCATAAGTATTTGTATTATCATTATTATTCCCTTGGGGCTCCGAGTAGAATTCATTTTGTTCTATTCTCTGTTCTCCTCTTCAGCTGGGTCCACGATCAGCCATAATCTCACATATGCTGATCGCCACACGATCTCTTCTACTTCACTCTCTAAGTTACGACCTACTTGTCTCTTTCCATTGAGATTCCACTCCAGTGATCACCTGCATTGCTTACGATGTTATTCGATGTTTTCTCCAACGTATACCCAATACACCTTCATTTTCTCCGACATATTTGTTCAGTGATCGGCTGTTGTTGCTAAATCTTTCTGACCTGTTGGCTGGCCATTTTATTTTCAGTATAGAGCCTGAGATGTGAAAGGCTCTTTATTATAGTCTGTAACTTGTTGAGGATACTTTACGTGACGTACGCGTAGTTCACGTTTGTGACCCGTATAGAAGAACTGACTTACTGACTGACTTCACATTTGTGTTGAAAATCGGAGTCTTATTCAACATACTGAAGATTGCAGAAGATTTCCATACTGGTTTCAGGGTCGCTGAACGTGAACTTTGCCTTTCCAATTCTGCCTGGTTTTGACATCTCCATGCGTTCCACCCGGCTGTGGTTGAAACCATGCTTCCTAGAAACATAAGTAAAATAAGTAGCCACTGTCAAATGTTTCCCGTCAATGGTGATTGATACTGGATGTTCTTGTTGTTGGTGGTTGATTACTTCATTACCACCGTCTCCATCTTTTCTGTATTCACCTGCAGTCCTGTCTTCATTGCCTGATTATTCAGCGAGTTTGTTGAATTTCGTCTGCAAGTCTTCCAGTTTATATGACATTAAACATAAATCATCCACAAGTGAAATCAAGACCTTCTAGAAGGTCCTGGGTTCGAATCCGGTGGGTGCGTACTGCTGAGGAGTCCCAAACTAGGACGAAACGGCTGTCCAGTACTCCCAGGTTTTCCAGTGGTTCTCTAACTGATGTCAGCTCATGATTAAATCCTCCATGCAACCTTCTAGAGTCTTCTTATTGGTCACTCCAAAGTATTCCTGCCTTTCCGCCCTCTCTGAACAGTCTGACGTAAAAGCCAGTCCACCAAAATCAGGGATGTCATCGGCGGTAGTATGTAACAGTCTTGTTTTACTCCTGTATTTACTGAGTTTTCTGTTGTAGATCTTCTGAAAGGCGGAACTTACATGAGCTTCATTATCTATTTTGCAGTATATAATATTATAAATTTGAAATTGTGCATTAATCGTGTACATTAATAATAGATGACTAAATTCTACTACTCGCAAAGACAGTAGTCCAGAATGCTGTCAGATAATACCGTCACTTTCATGAATTGGAATCTATTTGATGAATAAGGAAGGTTACATCAAATAGTACCATGATATTATCGGACACATCCGTGCTGTTAGAAACTTACTCTGTTATGTCAAAAGCCTGAATTAAAAGCTAATTTTCGATGTTCAATGTTTTATTGAAGAATTCAATTGTAAACATTCCCCCTTTATGACTTTATCTTCATGTCTAACCATCTTAATGAGGAAAAAAATATAGATCACAAATTCTGCCTATTGTAATAAATACTTCTTACAGCATTTCATCGGTTAGACAACAATTGGCAAACCTGCGTGGAGTACCGGACAACTCAAATAAAGTATAATTATATTTTAATAGTTTACACACAATGATAAGTTTTGTTATTGTGTGTAAACTATTAAAATATAATTATACTTTATTTGATCTAATCCACAATGCTCAAACTTTTTACTGATATTAATTCTACTGGATAACTGTTTCGTTCTAGTTTAGGACTCTTCACCCGCACGCATCCGCCAATAGGTTTCGAGCCAAGGTACTTCTGGTAACAAGGCGAGCTCGTAGGTAGGCAGCCGCCTGGGTTTTAGTGAGAATTCGTGACCAGTAGGGTACAGCACGTCGTTTGTGAGGACACATACTCGCTGAAGACATTGACTAGCGGTCGCGCTATGCTGCGAACTGGTAAAGGCTGGAACTCACGGTTCAGCCATTGGATTGGGTCCTAGTGGCCTAATGATTTACCAGCTAGTTCACCTTGTAACCAGAAAGTCTTGGGTTTGAAACCTGTTGGTAGGTGCATACTGATGAAGAGCCCTGAAACAGTTGGACGAAACAGTTGTTCAGTATACTCCATGGGTTTTTCAATTGTTCTCAAACTGATGTCAGCTCATGATGAAATCCTCCAATCAGCCAAAATGGGAAAACGTTAGGTATGAGTCTAGCAACCTCACTTGGTAAAAAACAAGACAGTAGAGGGGTTGAAGCCCACAAAGCTTCACCAGAACGTCAAAAGAAAACTTTGTTAAATAATGTAAAGGGAATATAAAATATTTTCCAACAAAAACATTTACCTATGGCATTCCTCGAATTTAGACTTGCTTGAACTGCTAATGCTAGTAGGTTGTTTGTTTTAGCTTGAAAAAGAGGTATATAGAGAATGAAAATCAAAATATTTATTAAAATTGAATAAAATTTAAGCATCGACACTGACATAAGAATAGAAGTTGAACATTGTCATGGTAGAGTATCATTCTGTTAGGAGGGAAATTTATTACGATAAAGTCTGACTGTGTTATATGGAAATGTTTACTGATGATATTGCTTCGAGCAGAATTTATCACTGCTCATCTTCACATCAGGTTAGTGAGAGAATAATGAGAAAGAATATAAGGCATCTACATTGGTAGTTTTACCATATATAAGACAGGGACATCTGAGACCCTATGTAGTAGGATTTTTAATAAAGCAGGAATTAGAGTGGCATTTAGGTCTACAAACTCACTGAGGTAGGTCAAGCTGTGCAGGCTAAATAACACCACTGACCCAATTAGACAAGGTAATAAAATTTAAAAAACACCTAGCAATGACTATAACTATCAGTCGACAACTACATAGGGGAGTCAGAATAGCAGATTTAGGGTAGTCATATCGTCGGAACATAAGAATTTAGCCAAGGTTAAAGTGACTGACCCTGAGAAGATAAGTAATCTAGAAAAATAATCAGCAATACTACACGTTTCAGAGCTCGTCCGTCTTCTATTGATGTCAGTTTCACTAACTAATTAAATGTCACATAATTTCATAATATTTACGCTAAATATTCAAAGGCATACCTTTCAGTTGGTGATATTCTTGTTCTGCTCGTTTAAAATTTGCTTTAATTTCATGCATACTTTCTAGATTATTAATAAATAAAAATGGAAGTTATTTCAATTTGATTTCGGACAAAAATTGAGAAGAATTATGCCACAAATGAATCTATCTTTAGATGAATTGATTTTACGAGTTTGATCACAGACTGATATCAGTTAGAGAACCATTGGAAATCAGCACTGAAGTACTGGATAGCCAGCTGTTTCATCTCACTAGTTTAGAAATCATCGGCATAGTGCACTCACTACCAGCGTTTGAACACAGGATATCAATCCATGGTCAAACTCGTAAAAACAAATCTGATCCTTACAAACCAACTTTAAATCTCTGTAGTGACTTACTAGAGGACGGAGTACCCTGGAGTTCGAATGAGAAGTCGTTACCATTGACGTGCATTCAGATGTCATGTGTAAGGATGGATGTGCAACCGATGATATTGGTTTGCGGTATCACTAAATAAACTACGAATTGGTAGACGCTGGAATTCATGGACTGGGCATTGGGGAGTCGGATCCCAGTGGCCGCATGATATTCGAGCTTACCTTGTGATAAGAAAGTCCTGGGTTTGAACCCTGGGCTCGAGTGCGTATTGATGATGATTCTTAAACTAGGGAGATGAAACAGCTGTCCACTACTTCAATACTGATTTTCAATGATTCCCTAATCGATATCAATCCGTGGTTAAACTCGTAAAAAACAAAACTAATCCTTACAAAGCAACTCTTGAGAATTTTACATGAATTATCAATCATGTTAAGAAAACTGACAAAATAATTAAATAACCAAAGTTTGAGCGCGGAGTGATATAAGTGAGAGAACCACTGGAATTCACAGAGTATTGGACTTCTGATTCAGTTCACTCATTTGAGACTCATTGTCAGTATACACCCATTAGGGATTGAACAAAGGACCTTCCATTTACAAGATGAGAATGTAGGATATATTCAGAATTACATGAATACTCACTTTGTTGACTGTTTGTCTGACGGTATGTCCTTAAATAGAAGTCTGAAGACCAAAAAAGTAATAAAAATAATAATAATCATAAAAGTATTATTGTATTTCTGGTTGATGGTGGTGAAGGTTTCTAACCAAGTGAGAATGAAACATATTCACAAGATAAAAAGAGCCCATATTTCTTTTCCGACTTCACGAAGTTTCATCGACTGTTCACAGCCACCTAAATATAACATCAGGTCTCCTAGATTCCGAATGGAACATAAGCTTTCAACAACACATTGAAGTCCTTTTCAGCTGGCTCCTCGTCCATCCATAGGCTGCTAAATCATCCTCATATAATCGCTTTTCTTCATTTCACCTTAAGAGTAGTCATTAAACTAGACGTATCCTCTTCGCATTCCACTAAAGTACTGGCTTGGTGAGTGATGTCACCCAGAAGTCGCCTCATTGGCGTGTATTTGATCCATCCGATCCATTTTTCTACGGGACACTTCTAGGGCGATTGGTTGGTTTGTTGCTTGGTTCTTTCCAAGGGTTTTGTGCAATCGAGAGCTTGAATTCAACTTATCATTTGACCCGTGTATTTTCAATAAAGAACAGGCTTATTTAAGAATAAATAGGGAGAGCCCTATCATCGAACACCTTGTCAATTCTTGACATGAAGCATGACCCTTATAAATACTTCACAGTGCTACACACAGAGTTCCTCAGTATCGTATCATGAAAGGACTTCGAACAGACTATTTTAAAAAAAGTTATATCATTGGCTATTTGGGATGTGAAACTAGACCTCAGCGTTCAAAAGCACTACATACATTCACTTGCGTTACCGTTGCCCGAATAACTTACTTAAATTGAATTTTCATACAGATTTTATATAAAAAAACGGAAGTTTTATCACCTCCCCTCTAATTTCTGTCCATTCAACAAAATCATACTGATTAGCCGTTTTCTCACACCTATTGCATCACCTTAACTTTCGCTTATTTTCTAATCTTCAAATACACTTTCAAGGAGAAATTTTACCAGTATTTCCTTGGCTGCTCGTATGAATTCTTTGTTAAATAGAATTACGACTTGAATCGTCGAAAAGAGAATTTTCTTCGCCGTTTACGTCGTTTTATTGTGACTGAATACGGGAATACTTCTCTTGACAAAAGAGAGTGGCTCTGATATTCGTTGACTCAACAAATATTGATTATAATTTGTATTGTAATGCACACTGGAGACTCCTTGATATTATAACGATTATTTTTGATAAAATTTGTTAAGATTTTGGTGAATCAGACGCCTCGTTGTATATTCAATTGAAGAAGTGTATTATTATTCTCCATTTTAGGTTTGAAGAGAATTTTCTACGTTACAGGTTTGATAAGAGGCTTACATCAATTAGGAAACAAGTGGAAACTGACAAGGCGTACTGAACGGCTGTATTTATCTAGTGATGGAAACGTTTAAGCTGTACATCTACAAAATGGTTTGAAACTAGAACATTCCGGTCATAAAACAGTTAACAGTCAGAATCCTAGAAAATCAAAACGTGAAAATTAATCAATTAGTCACTAGCGACTGCTTTTCTTAAGTTCTGATGATATTAGATGATTGAAATCAATCGGCCAAAGCAAACCTTCAACCAACTAATATCACCGAATCAGTGTACATCGTGATGGCAAGCTACTTAGAATGGTGGTCACATTGCAAACCTGGCTGACTGATAGAATTTCGTTTGCATCAAAGAAAAGAATAGGCACATCACACTGGTTACTAGTATCCAATACGGCATATTCCCTACAGTTCTACTGGAAGTCAATCGTGAGCCCGAATAGCTCATTAGTAGCGTCTCTGACTGTAGGTGGCACTGGGTGAAGCGTGTTCGAATCTCGAAAAGAGTATGAGTTCCTTCAGGGTTACAGATACGCCGTGTTTGTTGGTGAGTGTCAACCAGTTCGAAACTTAGGTCAGACAAGTCTTCCTGTGGGGCCAATGGCCTCCAATCATCTAATATCATCAAATCAATGTACACCGTGATGGCGAACTACCGAGAATAGTGGCCACATTGCATAGCTGACTGATAAAACTCAGTCTGCACCAAAGAAAGGACTAGACACGTCACATTAGTTACTAGTGTCCAATCAAATTTCCTTAACTTCCACTGAGATTTCATAACCGACCATGTAAACCGAATCAGGTAAGAAAACAGTTACTCGTCTGTGACAGTGATTGGCGATGGTGCTCTGTATATGTGGTGAAATGGCAGAAGTTGAAATTCCTGATTGATCGAGTTAGTTCCCATTGATTGAATGTTCTGAAGGTTAGCCTTCAAACTGGGATGAAACAGCTCTCCGTTATTTACTTCTGATTGCCGAATAATGTCAACTCATGATCAAGCTTGTATTTATGTTTTATTTTTAATGACTAACTACCATACTGTGGTTTTATTTAAATCGGTTCAATGAGTGACTGATTGCGCATGATTTTGTATAGAATAAATACTTGCGAATGCTAATCTTAAGCACTCAGTCAATCCTTTTAAGAGCATCATTGAGACCCTTTTCAATAAGAATTCTGTTATGAAATTAAATTATGACGACTGCTAACTGCTTCTCCTTTGATTTATATTTATGAAACTTACAAATGCAGGAAATCTCTAAAGGTATTAGGTATCGAAAAACTGGGGCATAGATCTAAGACAGACCTAAGATCAAATTTCTTTAGTTCAAAGATACTTAAGTGATACATTAATCCACGACTTTTCCATTGATGCTGATATGTAATGAAAACTGACGTGAACGATAAAAAACAAAACAAAACGCTTATCTTTGAAAACTAACCGACTTCAGTGTCAAGATTGAATCTGCTGGTCCACTTAGCAAATAGTTCAATATTGACGTTGAGATTTTCTGAAAAGGTATTCAAAAACAAACTCATACAATTTTATATATATATATATATCGTCTTCATCCCTCTGCGTTCCTACTTAAACAAACGCATTCATACCAGAGCTTTGGAACCCCATCAGTGAGAGTATTTTGCTTTGAAGGATGCAGTTTCTAGGCTAACTGTCTACCTACATTTTTTTGGGTTGATATTGGTTAATCAAGGTCTATTAGCAAGTTGACTATGAACGGAGACAGGAATGCAAGCACAGTCGACGAGCATTCTACCACTAAACTACTGAGGAATATATAATTACATCGTTAGCACCGACTAATCTTCGAATCATATTCATTGTCTGATTTTGTGTACTTCTCTTTACCTGATCAAACGATTGGCCAGAATCTCTCATCTCCTTCAACCATGATCTCCTGTTTGGTACTTTCAGACTCACAGGAAACTCGTTATTTCCCATTCCAGTTCCACTAGAATGATGGCCTTTGTGCGCAATATGATTTGACAGTCTTTTCAGTAGCGTGTGACCAATACACCCCAATTTTCCCCGGCATTTTGGTTGAAAGATAGTTTCCAGATTAGTCAATTTGTACCAAATCATTCCTCACTTTTGATTCTTTTCGATCAACCGGCTATTCAGTCTTCAATATTGAGCGATGGTGTCTCCAGCTGAAAAGAAGAGTCTGCAATAGCCTGTTCAAAATACTTTTCGTGAAAAACACGCATTGCAAGTTTCTGAAATGAATGACTGACTGGCTGACTTCTTTGTTATGTGGAGTGGGTAAGATTTCCAAACCGATTTAAGAGTGATGAAGTTCTGTCTTGTTGTTGTGATTCCGGCTTCTACATCTTCATCCATACTGTCGCCTGCAGTTGACAGGATGCCATCTAGGTATGTGGAGTGACTGACCTCTTTCAAATGTCTCCCGTTGATAGTGTTTGGTTCTGGCTCTTGTTCCTTTTGGTTGGTTAATTATCTCAAACACCTTCTTCTTCATACTTTCTATCTTCACTTGAAGTCTTTGCTGGTTCTTCTATTAACTTGTTGGTTTTCGTCTGCACGTCTTTGAGTTTGTGTGATACTAGACAAAATCTTCGAATATTGTTCTTGTAGGGATTTTGTTTGATTGGATGGAGGATTTCATCATTAGCTGACATCAGTTAGAGAACCACTGGGAAACCTGCTGGGAGTACTGGACAGCTGTTTCGTCCTAGTTTGAGGTTCCAGTTGGATGTTGTGTCCAGTAGGGTACAGCAGGTTGAAGATGAGGCGGTACCTCTTAGAAGAAGACATTGTGAAATGGTCGTGCTATTTGGTGAAGTGGGAGAAGTTAGAATTGATGCGCCTCTGGATCGGGTCCCTGTGGCTCAATGATCTACGAGCTGGCCTTGTAACTAGACGGTCCTGGGTTCGAATCGCAGTGAGTCCATACCGTTGAGGACTCCCAAACAAGGCTAACAAAAGAGGTGTCCATTAGTGCCAGGTTTCCCAGTGTTTCTTTAACTGTTGTCAGTTCATGATGAAATCCTCCATCCAGCCTAATATAATCCACTGACTTTGGCACTGTGCTAGAATATAATTTCATAATAGGAAATGAAAACACACTGATACCGAACCAATAACTAAGTGATATTTTGAGCACGATTTATTGTTCATACTCGAATTGGCTTATTCACAAGTCCTGGCTTATTCACAGGACTTGGTAAATTAATCCATCCAGCTATCTGTGTTCTGATAATCGAACTTACGCCCTAGTCTACTAGTCTGACTTGTAAAACTGACCTCACATTCATTATCTCGGATTTAGCATCTTTTACAACAATTTGAGCAATTGAATCGATAATGTTGATCTCTGAGTAAACTGGTTGATTTAGATACACTTCTCCATTTTTTTTTTCGATAGAATTTTCCTTATATCTTGTAATGATGTTTCATACAGGTTTTTGATTGGATAATGGCTGGCTCATTAAATAACCTCTCTCTTCAACTTAATGGGTTCCTAAATGACTAACACTCATATTTTTACGAGTTGGTCGTGGATGGATATCAGTTAGAGAACCACTGAATACAAACAAGGAGTACTGAACAGCTACCTCTCCCTAGTTTGGAAATCACCAGGGTTCAAAACTAAGACCTCCTGATTACAAGGCAGGCTCGTATACTACTCAGCCACTGACAGCCGACTCCTCAATGGCCAGTCCATGAATTCTAACTTCTACCAACTCGCGATATGTGGGCGACCACCAGCCAATGTTTGATGCTTGCTAATGATTTGCTGTAGGACTGAGTTTCCTGCAGTTTTTGTGAGAAGTCGTGATTAGTTTGAGGTCAGTTCAGACAAGTGTGAGGATGGATGTCACACCGACGACATCGGTTTGCTGAATTACTGTGTCTTTGATATATGGAAGGGACTTTACCCATGTAGTACAGTTTTGCATTCAATATTCTCATCACATGGGTAATATTTAAGCCAGGTTATATTGTTAAACAAGAATATAAATATAATGCTTAAACGAATGCATATTTATTCCCCCACACTATAATAATAAATGTTTTGAAACTGTTAAAAATGAATTTGCTCTTAACATATATGAGGAAATGATTCTGGTTTCATAAATTAAAGCTCCTAGTGACGTTTCGAGCAGAATTTATTACTGCGCATAATCATATAAAGGTATTTACAAAATATTCCAACTTCGTTTATATAACTCTCTTATTTTTCATCACATGGTTTGATTGGTAGTAGTATCTTCCATATTTGCGGAATGATTCATTTCCATTGCACATGTTGAGTGCAGATTTGATGAACCAGACAGGATTTAGTAATAAATCTCTCTCTCTCTTCACCTGCCTGTGATACTCTTTAGAATTCTGACTCTGTCGCACTCTATGTTGTGTGGTTGTGTGTTAATCCGTGCATAGCGATTGCTGAGCTTTTTTCTGAATTACTTATCTTCGTGAGGTCAGCCATTTTGACCTTAGCTAAATTCTTATGTTCCGACAGTCTAACTACCTCCGACTTACTAGTCTGACCTATATAATTGACCCTCCTTATAGTCACTGCAAGGTATATTGTAAATTATATTATTTTGCCTAATTGAGTCAAATGGGTCCTTTAACCTACAGAGCTTGTTCTTCCTGAATGCGTTTGTAGCTTTAAATGCCGCTCTAATTCCTGCTTTATTAAGAATCCTACTACGTAGGATCTCAGATGTCCCCTCCTTATGCGGTATACTACTACTAATCAAGTCAAGCAATGAAAAATATTGGAATTGTATAAACGAAGTTGTGTGAATACCTTGATATGATTATGAGCAGTAATAAACTGTGCCCCAAACGTGATTATCAGTAAATATTACTACTGTATAACACACTGTGAGACTTTATCAAAATAACAATTCTATCCACAATGGAATTATACTGTACCACAATGCATAACTTCTATTCTTATATCATTGAAGCTCCTGGATCGGATTGTTTTTCTGAGGTTGTAGCTAGACACACTGCTAAATAGTCTCAAGCTGGGATATTGGCAGCTCTTCAATACTTCATGGGCTTGAATGGTCGTTGATTCCTGAGGTAATCTAACATTCAATGGTAACTGTTCACTGCAGTCTCCACAAGAAACCGGCGAAACACTTAAATAATTCAAATACTTACCATACATATAGGTATTTAATTCAGTGTGCGTTTTGGCGGCTTTTGCATATTCCTCTATTGGGATAAGGAAAAGATAGAAATAATTTATCGGTGAAGTCTGAGACAGTAGGTGAGCACGCAAAGTACAGAAATTCTTAGTGTTGCATTAATGTGTGAAGGATAAACTGCCACTTTGGACTTGCCACTTCGCAATGTGTGTTTATAAATTCACCTGTTCATGTGGAGCTAGTTATATTGGCCGTACACTTTCCAAACGCATTTCTGAACAATGCAAGACAGTTACTAGCTCAATTCTCAAGCATTTGGTGAACCGAAGCCACGTAACTCCACCAGAGTCTGTCTTTGAAGATTATCTACAAGATTAGGTCAAGAGATACGAGGGGCGTCAGGTTTCAGCTTTTGGATATGGCGGGTCGTTGGCAATTCGTCAATACAACCCCGAACTATGTGTACACAAGACGTTTTTCAAGTCTCTTATTATACCTCGCTCTTAACCTCTTCACTGATGGTTCCCTATAAAAGAAATGTAATTTTCTAAGTTTCAATTTTACTGTTAATTTGTCTTAACTCTATTAATGAATGCACTATTATCACTCTCATATGTTCCTTTTGTACATTTTCACAACCTCATCACAATTGTTAAATTGACACTCAACTGCCACCTTTATTCTCAATCAATAGAAATTCTAACCTTATCAAATATCATGTGACGTGACGAAGATACAACCAATTCTGTGTATTATTTCCTCTATTTTGTTTCAAGAGTCGAACGGCATTATGCTAAAAGCGTGGGTTTATCTGGTGATTATTTGATATAGTCTCATGGTTAAAAGAGTAAGAAATGTGAAAGATTTAATCATGAACTGACATCAGTTAGAGAACAATTGGAAAGCCAGTTGGAAGTACTGGGCAACTGTTTCGTCTCAGACTAAAGCTCTTTAGGACAGTACGCACTCACCGGATACGAAACTAGGATGAAACAGCTCTCCAATACTCTCAGGTTTTCAATGATTCTCTAACCGATGTCAGCTCATGATGAATTCTTGTAATCAATCAATCAATCAATCAATCAGCTAAATCCCTACAAACCTATACTCAAACCTAGCAGAGTTTAAGCCATTTTGGGTTATGAAAATTATGGGTGCCTAGTGATTTAAACAGGCCACCTTTATATGATAACGGACAGGCTATTGGAACTTGAACAAAACGAGAATAATGAGTTGAGCAGAATAAAGGATCATGATCCTTGATTCATTTTGTTGGATCTTATCAACTGCATACTACACAAAAGTGTCTTAATATACCATACATTATGTGATTTGATACTTTTTTTTGTATTCGTTTGCATTCCCAGTAAAACATAGAGGGTTTCAAGCTAGAGATTTCAAGTTTCTGTAGTAGTGGTGATTATTTTTACAGGATGAGGTTGGTAGCCTGCCTCATACCAAGCTTCTTTTTATACCAGTCTTACTACTGGCTGGGGATCGATCTCTGGATCACCTGCATGGCAGGCGAGCACTCTAACGCTATGCCACCGACTCACATGATTGGATACTAGTTAGTATACTAGCTTGACTTGTAACCGTAAGCTCCTGGTTTCGAACTCTGGGGTTGGATTCACACTGCCGATGATGCTCAAACTAGTATAAAACACCAGGTTGTCCAGTACTCCTTGTTTGTTTTCTTTAACTGATGTTAGTTCGTGGTCGAACTCGTGAAAACAAATCTAATCTTTACAAACTAATTCTTGAGATTTGAAATATATCACAGTTAATATTCTATCAGTGAAATTACCTTCACATTTCCTTATTAAATTTCTGTTTTTTGGATCAACAACTGCATTAAATCAACAAAAAAAGACGTTCAGACCGGATAAAAGCAACATTATGCAATGCAATTAGTTAGAGAACAAACTGAAATTAGAGAGTGCTGTATAGCCTTTTCTTTCAAGACTAGTAAAGACTTTTCAGCAGTAGGTATCTCTAATCTTCCGGGTGATCAACGTCAGGAGCTATAGATTATGAGGCTAACCCGCTGACTATTCAACCACTGGCTCTATGAATTCGAAATGTGAGCATACATTGAGGAAGTCGTCGAATGTCACCGCGCGCCAGGCAGTCACTCAAATGGAATCTAAATAGGAAGCGACGAATGGGTTGCCACTTCGAGTGTGACATGGAAGAGATCGTAAGAGCGAGAGGTATACTCTCCTTGAAGATTTGCACATTGTACAATACATTCAAAAAATTGAAGGTTGTGTTTAATACATTCATCAAGTGTTGTCCAAAAACGCGTTACATATGAGGTTGTTTTCTTGATCCAGTCACCTTGTGGTAGTATTTTAATGTATGAATGCAAATTTATTGCTCGTAATCATATCAATATATTCACAAGACTTCAGAAGTTGCTTTATGTATACATTTTCCTCTTCCACTTTATTATTCATTGTAATTTTTCATATATTCGGTATAGGCGTTGAATCATTTTGACCTCATATGTACTTAGATTGGACAGCAGTAACTGACCAATATGATGTATCTAGTCCTGCAGAATAAATTCTATCAGTTAGGTTCGCAATGTAGCCGCCGGTGTACATTGATTTGATGATATTATATGGTTGGAAGCAATCAGCTGAATGTAGCCTTGAACCCAGGTTTTGGTGTTATTTGGCGCTCAAATCAATCTGCACCATGTTAGCGAGCTACCTAGAATGGTGGCCACATTGCAAAATCTGAGTAAAGGAATTGAGTCTGTTCCAACGAAAGGACTAATCACATCACTCTGGTTACTAGTGTGGTGAGAGCAGGCTGCTAGCCGATTGGTTGGCACTAATCTACGTTAAGGTCTAGGTCACTAATATGGGCCGTGAGAAAATATGAACAAGCCTGAGTCAACAACCAATCACAGCAAAGTTAACGTGGCAGAATATGATTCGCAGAGAGAACTCTATTTGTCAAGGAATCCCAAAACAACCAATCAGAAGCCTGCGTTTGTCTACCTAAACAACCAATCAGATGACTGCGCTTGTCTATAATAATGTAGTTGAAAGATGTATAAATACGTGTTGATTTTCATAATAAAACGATCTGTTGCCTGGCCCTTGTCTTCTGTTGTTACACTAGTATCCGATTAAAAATATCCCCTACAGTCCTACAGGAGATCAATCGCGAGCTCGAATAGCTTAGTGATAACGTCTGTGACTGCGGACGGCACTGGGTGAAGCGGGTTTGAATCTGAGAATTGATATGAGTTCCTTCAGGGCTGCACCCACGCCTTGTTGACTGGTGAGTGTCAACTAGCACGAAACTTAGGTTCAAGGCTTCCTGCCGAATGCCTCCGACTATCTTATATCATGACTCCATGCGTGTTGACCACTGCTTGCTTAAAGCACCTAATAGATCCGTTTCAGAAAAATAATATAATTTACCAAACACCATGTGAGAACGATTAGATAGATAACAGCAGTAGACTAGGATCAATCAGAGTATCGGAATATAGTAATTTTCATGGGGTAGTTAGTAAAAAGTACTTGATGACTGTTTCGTTACTCTGGTTCTGGCGTCTTCAGAACCTTCCAGTTTCAAGGCTAAGCCGAAGACCATACTCAATGCTCCCCTAACTGAGAACCATCCGCGATCAAATTTGAAAAAAATAAGAGAATTTAGCCAGAGCTAAGTTAAATGACCTAGAATAGAGCTCAGCCAGTGGAATGCATTCACACAGTGTTATAAAGTAATAAATAATTAGGTAAGCAAAAGAAAGGCAGGAGTCATTCACTGCATCTTTGCTAATCAAATCAACATTAAATTCATGCAATCGAAGTGATTCAGTCTCTATACCGGATATATGAAAAATCTTTAAATATTCCTAAATTTAATATTAGAACAAAGACATACAAGCGAACAGTATTATCGTTTTCATTTAGATCTTCGTCAAGCTTGAGCCTATTATATATCGATTTTAATACATAAAGAAGAATTCCCGCAATGACACTGGGTTTGTGGATCAAATTATAACAATAAGTGTTAAATATTTTGAACGTCAGTAATAACTAACTGATTACAATAATAGCAGAAGGAATGATAATCCGGGGAATGTTCTTGAAACTTCAATTCAATGCGGTTGTGGATAGTGAAGTCCTATGTCTAAGATTATCAACAGCATTAAAACGGATTGATACTGCCGTCAAACTTTGTTTGTCATTTTCCAGACGACGAATTATGATGGCTCAAGCGAAAGGCAAGTTGCCTAGCTGTCCCACTTCTATGTGTATGAAAAAATTTAGCTGCTCCTGTGGAGAAAGCTGGCTATGTAGGGTGAACAACTAGACAGCATTCCTTCATGGTTCAGAAAAGGCCAAAACAAATACCTATGAGAAGTTCCATTTTCTCTCATTTAATTGCTAGCGGTCACCAAGTGGACGGAAGAAGAAGAATTACTTCAAAGTTATCCGTCGGATAGCATCGAACCTTTAGAATTCGCCTTTTACACACAGCCGAAGCTATATGAAATTAATTTGAGAGAACAATCCTTGTGTTTGCATAAAAAATAAGTTTGTTCTCCCTTTGGTCTAGGGAAATTCTAACTGAAATCCTCCCACCATTTCTAATTTTCCATTTTCTTCGTACTTTTGTGATTATTATTTACTTTAATTCCTAGCGGAACATAGGGCTTCAGCCACGCGTCTCCATTGCCTTCTGTTTTCTGCCAACTTTTTCACCCCGCTCCAGGTCTGCCCACATGCTTTCATCTCCTCTTCACATGACCTCCTTCAAGTCACCCTTCCACTGGTGATCAGCTCTCCGCTTCCCTTTCAGGTTCCACTCGAGTGATGGCCTGTCTAGTGATGTCACTTGATGGTTTGTTTTCTCAGAGTATGGTCAATCCATCTCCATTTATTCCTGCCTATTTGTTTCACAATCGGTTTCTGATAAGTTGGTTCGCTTCCAGAGATCTTTGTTGCTGATCTTTTCTGGCCATCTGATCTTGAGTAGAATTGAGCGAAGACAACTGTTAATGAAGGTCTGAAGTTTGTTTGAGATGCTCTTTATGACGCGCAATGCAAGTCTCTGATCCGTAAAGTAGCACTGACTTCACATTGGAGTTGAAAATCCGGATGTTATTTTTGACGCTGAGGGCTGTTGACCTACACACAGACTCAAGAGTAATGAAGGCTTGCCTCGCTTTCCCGATCCTCGCTGCCTTGATATCCTCGTCAGATCCGTCCGCCTGTAGTTGAAATGATGCTTTCCAGGTAGGTCAAGGAGGCTGTTTCTTTCAGGTTCCTCCTATTTATGCTGATTGTTGTCTATTGTTGTTGTTGCTGTTGGAGTTGGCCAGGGATCTTCATCACCTCTGTACTTTTATAATATTTATTTAAATTTTCTGTCCACTTCACTTTTAGGTGACTCTAAAGAATAGCGGCCCAAACCGAAACGACCTTTTAACGCAAAAATGACCTTGGCAGGGACAACTTCGGCCAATGAGAAGGCTCAGAAAGAAAGGCGCATAATTGTAAACAACGGTTTATATAAAAGTAATGCAATCATAATAAACAGTTACAAAGCATGGCGTTCGCGTATATGTTGCAAAAAGACCTCTCAGTTTCTCATGGGAGTCTTCATAGTCAAATGAAACCGGTTTCGGTACATAAATTCGTCCAGGTAACTGTACATCATGGGATTTCTCGATCCATTAACCGCTCTTATACGTCTTTCTAGACGACTCCAAAAACTTTCAATGGAACTGGTGTGGGTTCCATCCAAAGGATTCCGGAAACCGTCCGTATGATTAACAACATGATAAATGTACCCATGATTCGATAATTGATGGTATCCGCTCCATTCATCTGTATGAATATTCGTCCCCGGCAACACCAAACGCTTAATAATAGGCACTAATACTGCTGCACTGCGATTGGGAATCGCAGTGTCGTGTCGTAGATACCCAGTATCCACTGCTGGTTTGCTTGTAATCTCACGCGGTTGTATTTCCTTTTAATAAGTACAGTTTCATCAATATGGACTATGCTGCCGACTCCTCCGAGAAGTTGAGTCAGGGTGTTCATTTTCCAGGAGGAAACATCTCTACAGTAGTTGTACCATTGCACTGCTGTCACCTCTGAATTTTCTATTTCATAAGCTGTAGCTGTGACTGCTCTTTTCAGGACCCAGAAGTTACAGATCATTAAAATTTTCGTCAAAGGTAGTTTAGACCTTGAGAGAAAAGTTCCTAAGGGATGTGTAAACTAAAAAACAACGACAAACCTTCTCGAACCGATTTCCTCCTTCGGCACTCAATACATCTGTATACAAAGCCATCAATGGCCTCTGTGTATATTTGTTTATGCATAACTCCTCCGCATTGGCAAATTTTCGACAAAGCTATCAGTCCGTTATCCAAACAGTAATCGAAAACATCCATGATTACTTCCGAAAATGATACAGTCAGCTGATTTCTTGCTCAAGGTCAATTTTTTGTTCGAAGGTCGTTTCAGTTTGGGCCGCTATTCTTTAGAGTCCCCCACTTTTATTATTACATAACTTCTAAGATTTGACCTAATTATTTATTAAGTGGATTTTCTACATATACACATATTACCACCTTCGTTATTCGTATCGTCACCTGTATACACCTTACTATCATTATTTCTTTAACATTATAATCCTCGTTATTACTGACGTTGAAAACATTTGATCCACAAACTCACCGTCATTGAAGAAATTCTGTTTTATATATAAATCTATGCAAATAAGGGTAAAGCTTGAAGAAGATCTAATTAGAAACGACAATATTTTTCGCTTATATATCTTGTTCTATTACTGTCTCACTCACTGTATTTCATATGAAAGTATTTTAAACGATTATCAGGTTAAAAGTAGTTCTAAAATTAGATGACTAAGTATTGCTCACTTTTAACATAATCTCTAAACCATCCAGCTTCGAATATAGTTTCCAGTCGTTTGACCTCTTTAAAAGCAAAAAAAGATATACGTACAAAAAATCACTTAGTTATAAATTTTGATTCACGGGGTGCCACCAAAAATTAAATATGTCATCCAACAGTTGTATGATAATGCTGTAATCCACAACGGGAAACTCACGGAATTCTCCGATGAAGTGAAGATGACAGTAAGACAAGCCGGCTGACTGCCTACTATCTCCAAGGATTTTCCGGATTGTAGACGGAAGAGACGATATTGCGATAGACAGCGGACAGGAAGGAAACAGGCATAAAATGGACCCACACAAATAACTTGGAGGATCTGGACTTCACCCATAGTGATATATGTTTGATTTCCCACAAAGTGGAAGATATGCAGATGAAAAAACAACAAGTTGAAAGAAGAAGCACCCAGGAACGCTAGGAGGGACTTCAGGTGAACAAAGAGAAAATAGAGGTAATGAAGATTTCCCACCAGCAGCAATAGCAACAACAACAGACAACAATCAGCCAGCACATATAGGAGAAATCTGAATGAAGCAACCTTCTTCACCTACCTGGGAAGCCTCGTTCCAAATACAGGCGGATGGAACTGATAAGGATGTCTGAGCAGCGAGGATCGGGAAAGCAAGACAAGCTTTCATTACTCTCAAATCTGTGTGTGGATCAACAGCATTCAGCATGGGGATGAAAATAATATCTGGATTTCTTAATTCCAATGTGAATTCAGAGTTACTTTATAGAACAGAGACTTAAGGCATCATGAAGAGCACTTCGGTCCAATCAATCGACGGGAAAATCAAAAATTCAATTCAATAATTAATATGACTCGTTGCACAAGAGGTGGCTCTCGTGGCCCAAGTGGTCTAGTGGATAACGCTTTGGCGTTTGAAACTATGGGTACTGGGTTCGAGCCTCGGTGGGAACATCATCACTCACTGAGAAATGCAGGTACATCCAGATGACGAGTCTCAAATAGGACGAAATGCGCATCCTGGATTCCACTGCTAGCCACCATCCACCAATTGTATATCATGAAGAGCACCTCAAACAAACTACAGATCTTCATCAACAGCTATCTACGCTCAGTACTAGTCAAGATTAGATGGCCGGGTAGAAAAGATGAGCAACAGTAAGGGATCTCATGGAGATAACCAACACAGCAGGAACCGATTGTGCAACATGTAAAGAGGAAGTAATGGAAGTAGGTTGTACATATTCTGAGGAAAGAAACCGTCACATGAGTGACATCACATGCCAGGTCATCGGATTAGTGGAACCCGATGCGAAGCGGTGAGTTGGTCGGCAGTGTGAGGTTGGCGTGACATGGATGAAGTGATGTGAAGAAGAGACGAGAGCATGTGTGCAGAGGTGGGGCCAGGTGAAAATGTTGGCAGACAACCGAACACAGTGGAGACGTGAAGCTGAAGCCCTAATGATCTCTTCATCTCATGTTGATTAGTGCTGAAAATCTAAAAAATTGTAATTCATATGAAATCTTTCATTATTTTCAGTAGAACATAGTGCTTCAAGCTTAGGGCGTGAAGTTTCGGTAGCTGTAGTTTTTATATTTATGAGATGGCGTTGCTGGTGCCATGCCCAATCTTTTTTCTATTTACCAGTCTTATAACCAGCATAGAGCAGTGAAACAGTGCGTTGGCCGGAGATCGAACCACGAACTACCTGCATGGTTGGCCAGCATTCAACTACTGTGCCACCTTACAAATCCTATAATCGTTATATCGAGTCGTGGTTTTATTTATTTATTTATTTAACTCGGTTAATCATCTCACCATTTCTGAACATTTTTTCCCCTTTTTTCCCCTCGAGGGCTACTGATCCTTCGAGTTGAGAATCTAAGTGTAGTTAAAAGGACACAAAATGTTATGACAACTTCGGATTATTCTCCTATCTCGCATAGGGATAATAAAGCTTTTATTGTGGGAAAAACCCCATCCGACTATATAAATATATATATATACATATAAAGAGAGAGAATGCCAATAATTGACTCAGAATGAAGAGGCTATTTTCAAAGGATATGTCATTAAAATTCACCACGGCTTAAAATATTTATAAACCTGGATACTGTGGTATTATGTAATCCCATATTATTTTTCTTGATCAGATATATCACACAGTATAAGACAGTATTGATTACTGAATGACACTGTTTTGAACACAATTCATTCTTGTTCATAATCACACCATCAACTGTATTCACACAGTTCACAGAAACTTCACTTTTATAGTTCAATGTCTTTCTTCTAATTTATGCCAGGGATGATAGAAATTTCAAGGGATAGATATGGGATCACTCCTAGTGTTCCTACTCTCAGTTCATTCGATGAATAAACTTCCCGTTACCAGTCTCCCAACTATATTTTATCAGAATACACACACAGTGCTTTAGCTATGCTATCTTCCTGATTTATTACCTTATTAGGGTCAACTAACCTAGATTTTGTTAGGCTTTCTGTGCTCCACTAATCTGATTGACCCCAGTCTACTTCTACTCTGACCTTTGCATTTTGCTTGACAATCATTGCACCACACGATGTTGTTCGTAGATTGCTGCGTTTAATTAACTTCACAGGATTGATCTTTCAAGTGACAAAGCTTATTTCTAATTGTGTTTGTGATTTTGAATGCCCATATTTATTCCTGCAATGTTAGGGAATTCTCCGTAAGTTGGTTTCCAAGGTTCCTACTACGTATGGAAGTACTACTGATGTTTTATACTCCCTATTGTCGGTGCTGTCATCATTCTGTGCATGTTTATCGTGAATGTTGTCACTATGTTTTATATCATTATCCTTATTACTATCGGTATAAGTGTTATTATTGAGAAGCCGTTTGTAGCAAGTTAAACACTAGTGTTTACTGGGAACCAACACATTCAAATATACATATTTGGATTTCTGGTCATCCCATCCAAAGTCAGTAAAAATTAGGATTGGTGAAATGTTTAAATAATAGAGCACAAAACTAAGTAGTACCAAGGAAAATCTAAGACAGGAAGTGAGGCATATAAGAGAAGCTTTAAAACAATAAATAATAAGTTAGTCAGAAAGTATGTAGGGAAATGTTAAAATACTAACAAAATAAATAATAATAGTAGTGATAATGATAATAATAATAATGACAACATGCATGTCGAACATACACAGGATAATAAAACATAGTTGAGCGACTGAAAACGGAAACTTTATTAATCGAATGAACTGAGAGTCGGAACAATAGGAGTTGTCCCAAATCTGTGCCATGAATTGTGTTCAAAACACTGTGATCTAGTCAACAGTACTGTTCTATACTGCCTTACATATCTAATAAATAAACATAAAATGGATCATGGTTTAAAGTCACTTGACGATCTACTGAATACTGAAATAGTGAAGAGGTGTTTCATGGTGTTTTGACAGTCTTCAGCAGTAAATACCCACGACTTCACGTATCGTTAAATTCCTGCTGAAGTTGTGATTGAATGATCAACAAGTCTTTCCTCGGTGAATGGAATCCTTGGTTGTGATCCCTGCTGGGATTCAGGAGTGTATGCTTCGTAACAGTTAAAATCTAGGACAAAATAGCTGGTTTCCAATGATTCTCCCACTAATATCAATCGTTAATGTAACCTGGAACAAATCTAATCCGTATAAACTAACTTCTGAGAATGAATTATCAAGGTCTACATTCATATATGTGTATACGATCTTCGTTTGTATTAAATAAGGTGAACTGGTGAGACCACAGTCATCTTGATTTTAATCATCAATAGATAAAATGTTGCATGAAAGAATATACTACTGATGGGTCAAGATGAGTAGTATGTAACTACTCTGCAACTGAATAAATAAAATGGAATGTAGATTATTCTACTATATGACGGACAGTTTAAGACCGTGAGATTTGGCAGGGTTGAACAAACTTTTCTCGTGTACACAGAGAGATCGGACTTTTCTATTCCTATGACTAAAGCTTGAGATATTCAAATGAATGGGACACCTTGAGCTTCATTTTGTAGATAACTTTGAAGGAAAAGGCTGTCTGAATAAGAAGACCAGCGTCTAACAGATGTCCAGTGATTGTGCCTCATATGAACCAAATTCTAGGTGTTGTTAACAATGGAGGATATTGTTCTTGTATTCTTTTCGACAAAACCCTACTCAGACAAATGATTGGTATATGCCTAGCTCCACACAAATAGGTGAATTGATAAACAGCCATGGAGTCGGTCAACTGTAGGATCTTGTTCTTCAGGTTTTTGAACAGTAATGGTTGACTAGAAAAAAATGCTATTCTCAAAGAGGCTACTTAGGGGATCGCTTTCAGAGAATGTCAGCATCTAAGCCACGTTGGAATTCAGCATATTCTCAGTTACAGATGTTAAGTCACACTTCAATAGTTCTGTATATGTATTCTTATCTATGAAACATGGAAAGAAATGCAATGGAATATTCCCTAGAAGATTTAACTCCCCCTCCACAGTATCAGGACTATATATGTACGCTGAGTGCGAGTGACAAGTAGTCGTATAGGGGGTTAAATTTTCAACCGGTTGGTAACCATCTGTAGAACTGGCTACAAATCTTGTTAATTTTCAAGTATTCGTTTTGTAGGGATTTTGTTTGATTGCATGGAGGATTTAATCATGAGCTGACATCAGTTAGAGAACCACTGGAAAACCTGGGAGTACTGGACAGCTGCTTCGTCCTAGTTTGGGACTCTTCATCAGTACGCACCCACCGGGATTCGAACCCAGGACCTTCTGGTTACAAGGCGAGCTCGTAGACCATTGTGCTCACTAGTGACTGGCCCTATTCAGGCAGTTAACCTGGGGTTCAAGTGTGAAGCCGTGACCAGCAGGTTGAAGATGAGGCAGTAACTCATCGAAGAAGACATTGCGAAGTGGTCGCGCTATGCCGTGAATTCGCAGAAGTTTGAATTCAAGGACCATTTGATCGGATCCCAGTGGCTCAATGGTCTACGAGCTCGCCTTGTCACCAGAAGGTCCTGGATTCGAATCCCGGTGGGTGCGTACTGCTGAGGAGTCCCAAACTAGGACGAAACAGCTGTCCAGTACTCCCAGGTTTTCCAGTGGTTCTCTAACTGATGTCAGCTCATGGTTAAATCCTCCATGAAATCTTGTTAATTCTACTTGCCTTTCTAAAATTCCTCCATACTATGAACCAGTTTTTAAAAATTACATAACCAAAGTTATTATCACCAGTGTTCTATTGTATTTCAAGCTATTACTTTCTAAGAATCATTTACACAGTTATACAACCGTACAATTTATTAATAATGAATTCTTTGAAAAGAGTCACTTTGTATTTTTTAATTGGACACTAGTTCGTAACTATTATCGTGTGTCCTACAGTAGGTCATTGGTGACCACGAATAGCCAATAGGTGATGTCTCTGACTGCAGCACTGTTTGACATGACTTGAAATCTCAGGACGTGTATGAGTTTCTTTCAGATTGAAATCTAGGTCAGACAAAGCGTCTTGTCGATTGCCTCCAACCTTGACAATAAAAGTAATTCACAGTTTCTTCTTCACTTTGAAATATTATATAATAATTAGTCAACAAAAATGATTGACTTACACTCAACCGATTTTGCCTCATAGTAGGCATTGGCGTATTCTTTTATTTGCATTCGTAGTGATTCTAGGTAGATAAAAGGTGGGTTAATTGTGCATAAAAAAACTTTAATTCGGCTGTATAACTGGATATATTTATACAGTGTGTACACATCTGCCTTTTCATGTATTATGTGGAAGACGGGAAGAAGATTGTGAAGCCTATACGTTTTATTATGTTGAATATCTTGATTCGTATTCCAAGACGGGTTAGGTGGATAGTCTACCACAACATCGCCGACTATTGGCCCAAAATCACGAGACACACACAAATACAGAATACCGCCTAATAAACATGATCAAGCCATCAACTGATCAGTCGAAACTACCAACAAGTCAACCAGACTCAACAACTCCCAAAAGACAGAATATATATATATGCCAAATCACTGTCTCCCACACACTAAACATATCCACTATAGTCAGCTAGTAATATTCATAACCTGTAGAATGAACCAGTGAACCAGCTGTCAACTAAACTAAGCTTAACATCTGTCATACCTGATCAGTTCGACTACATTAGACAGATAACATTGTCGGTCGTGATGAACACCTTGAGAAAGTGTACTAACAAGCACACCTATGCAATCTCCAATGAGTTCAGCATATGACAAGAGCACCACGCAAACTCAGGCACCCATTGTTAGGCAGACACTGAAATATGGCCAAAATACCCAAGCACAAAACATACTCAACAGGTGAATTCACAGTGATCGCCGATTTACTTCTTAGTGGATTCACGCCCTGTTTAACCTTTTTTCTCTCTCTCTGTCTTTCCGAAGTTCTTTTCAACTTCCTCTCAAGGAATCTGTTTACTATCGGACTCTTGTAGGCCATTAGTCTTGGATGACGTTTACCACCAAATTTGGGCTGCATTCTCAAACAATCTTATACGAAGATTAGCTATGGATAAAAATGTAGTGCTTGTTCTCTTCCCCTGTGGGCGTTTTACTTCCTTTGAGTCAGAACAGCTTGTTGTACTTATTGTTGTGCGTGAGGGATCAGTGATGCTAAGAAAAGACTTAAACACCATACTGCCTTAAAGTCAAATGGCCACAAGCTTAGGCGTCGCGCTGATCTTTGTCTAGTAGCTATTCATATCTGATCGGTGGACAAAGTTAAACTGATTTCTGCGTTACACATCGTCAGTGAAACCCAGGAATATGCAAAGACCTCCAATAAAGCCGTTGATATAAACATATATATATATATATATATATATATAAGTGTATAAACGACACTTCATATATTCTACAGCATTTACGTAAGCGTGTATGTGTATATCATTAAGTCATGACTCGAGTAAACGTAATGTGACTACCGGATCAGACGTTCTACATCAGACTAGACTGTGGCCGGATAAATGGATTGGCAAAGTGTGAATTGTCTCAAGAAACTGCCACTCACAGAGATACCCGTGTGTGTTCAAACAGCTCTTTCTCAATGCTAAGAAGCGTATCACTGGCTTCATAGTAGCCAGCATACAACAGCCAATATCTCGATGGATTAACTCCATTATTTTACTCAACTATTGTCTTCTACAGATCGAAGCAAATGTCATAATCAAAAGGTTATAAGGATCGTCTATTGTCATTGGAACGATCATTAACTTATAGTTGTTGGTAATGAGGAGAAATGCAATACTGTAAAATATTTCATCTGTTGACGTCTAGTGGGAATCATTGAACAGACTTCACTAATCTCTCTACGATTACATCACTAATAAGCTTTCGGATAAGTGGTAATCGCAAAGAGTAACAATATAAGTTAAATTGGGAGAACTCACCAGGGATAGGTTCATCTTGAGTATTCGGTGCAGCTAAAATATTGATGTATAAAAGGCCATCTTTATGAGTGAGTTTCTAAGAATTCCAATTATTACAAGTTCGATAAAACAAAGATATAAGTCAGGGAACCAAAATAAGCCAGCACAATGTACTGGGCAGTTGTTTCACATGGAGCCAACTCGAGACCATCAAGTGACAACAGATTGGCTCCGATAAAATTGACTCTCAGTGCGACTAAAAATCGCATATTGACAGATGTCGGAATTCACAGGCTATTAGATATTGCCTCAGCAGTTGGATGGTCAACGAGTTAGTTATCTTGGTAAAACAAGAAGATCTACGAACTGGGACGAAACACTCGGCCACTACTTCTCGTTGATTTTAATCGCTAATTCATATCAATCTATGCTTAATCTGGTAAGTCGAAATACACGTTAACTGAGAATCAGAGTATCTATTGAAGTAGATATAGACTGCAGAACATGTGGAGAACAATGTGTAGAATGCCGTGTTCATAATACTGCTCATAAAACTCAAGTAGACAAACAATCAACCAATGTCAGACGAAACAGGTAATTACAAAGAGGCATCGTCTGCGCGATAATATGGGACAACTGTGGAAAGCATTATACTGCTGAAAGCGGACGTCTTATTCGTCTTTACATCAACATGCACAAACTAGCTGTCAGAAAAACAGTCATAGGATTTCTTCCTTGACAGCAATGCATGGAGGCGAATCATGGACATCAGTTAAACTGAACAAATGCATAGCAGGTAAACAAATGAAGTGCGGAACAGCCAGAGAATTCCCAGAAGCCTAGCACCCAGATTCATTCCACAAATTTTCAACTTCTTTAGGCAGTAATTACCAGGAAACATTTCTTTAGAACTTAACAAGACATGAAGAGAAATCGATACTGAGATAGGTGATATTCAGATATATTTCTTCTCACGGTACAGTCGGTAATAGAGCATTCCTGGACTGGATCAGTTCACAAAAGACTTAGTCACATCTGAAGCCTAAATAAACATAAAATCAATTAAGAGGATGTGGATTCAGTTTGAGACCGTCTGCATAAAGAGGTCATTGATAAACCTCAGATATGAAACGATTCATATCACAGCAGTCCAGTGCACAAGCTATGTAATTTGCATAGATTCGATGAATTTAGCTTCCGATGAAATGAAGCAATCACAGCTTGTGAAAGCACATTAGCTTCTCTTGACAGAGAAGTGGAGTGATTTCTACTTAAATTAGTTATGCTGGTTTCCACCCTGCAACTCCAGACCGAGTGGATGCTGAAATCTGTGTTCCAACAGTCGAGTGTAACGCACCAGTGTAGTCTGAAAAAGGTGAGTCGAACATACTTTTCAGTTTTATGTAGACTCGAAACAATCTATAATGCTGGAGTACATTGGTAGCATCTAATGTGACTCTGCCGCATTCATAAGCAAACCATTTCAGAACACTGAATTAGGGTTTTAAGTAGCCTTGAGAACAACACCCATTATCTGACTGGATTAATTCAACACTTCCTAAGATTTACTGCACTTTGAATTTTGACAGTTATGACATTATTCAAAGTATGCAGGAAGCACTCACAAATCACACTATAAAAGAACACATAGTGACTATTATTTCATTAATGGAAAGGGTGCAGTGATCAATGAAAAAGGTACACTCGACTGTTCTTTCTGTCATCAATATCCGTTTTCACTATCATTTTTAAAAAAAATGAACACCAAACAAGTTTCACAACAGAATCAATATATTCATCAGCAGATCACTGAACGAATTTATTTGTGCTCACATTGATTAGAAATGGCGCAGTTTTTGAGAAACGTGTTGAGGAGTGCAAATTCGATGAAAATCTTTCAAAACTTACAATATTTATTTCGACTTTGAGAATTAGTTGCAGCCGTCGCTATGATTGATTAAAGCAAAACACATTTATATATTCAATTAGTTAGCATAAAGAATTCTTGTCAAATATGACAAAAGAAATATGGAGTCAATAAAATCCCACCATTAATTAATGCAAGAAAATACATAAAAAGTAAGGAGGTTTATGGCGGAGGTGCACTCACTGTTCACACAAAGACTGATGAAACTGTTGTCGTAACATCACATGCCACTTAACTGGTGAATGGTGACTACCAGTGGTATCCAGGGTGCAGGTTTCATTCTATATGGGACTCGTCGACTGGATTTACCTGCGTTTCTCAGTGAGTGATGATGTTCCCACCGAGGCTTGAACCCAGTACCCAAAGTTTCAAACGCCAAAGCGCTACCCATTAAACCACGTGGGCCACGAAAGCCACCTCTTGTGGAACGGGTCATATTAATTTGCAGGTGAATCTAGCTGATGAGTCCCAGACAGGACGAAATGCGCACCCTGGAGAATTCCACTGCCAGTAAACATCCATCAATAAATAGTTGTATACGATTCATATCACATAGTAATACTTGTCAGCCACTCAGATGATCGAGGTGATCTGAACACCGGTCTGAGATCAAGATGTTCACAAGTGTGCATGGTTTGACGCAACTGAGAGAGATGGATATGTTCAAACTGACTGCCTCACCCAGGCCAACTGGTAACGCTGGTAACTGGTGCACTTTTTATCAAGTTGGCCTCAAAAGAAGAGAAAAGTGCTGTTCACTATTATGATATAACTTTCACTTTGACTGATTGACAAGCAACTACTTTTCTCAGTCAATCAGTAGTATACAGCTTTCATGCATTTATGTTTGCTCTCTCGATTACCATTTCTGGTATGAATCAGTTTCGGTTCTTAGGCGAAATCTGAGTGAAATTTCATCTTCTAAAATTGAGGACATCACAATCACACTCATGAGTTAATAGTCAAATCACGAGTTTGATTTATGCTGTCAGAGTGAAAATAGTGAAGAAGAAAACGATTAGGAAAGAAAATTCTGACAACACGCAAACCTCAGGGTTATAATGGCGAATCCCTGACTCCCCTGACATACACAAATGCCAAAACCAGAAAATACTCTTAAAACATTTTGTAGACAACCTCAACTGACGAGTCTGGTGGAGCCATTCACCAAGTGCTCGAGCATCCAGTTAGTAAATGTTCTGAATAATCCCCCAGCTAACCATGTTGGATAAGTTTTAGAGATACGTTTAAAAAGTTTGCTTTCTCTGAGGCTAAAATAATCGGCTGTTTACGAGGAGCCAGTGAAAAAACGCAAACAAACATCATGGTAGCCAAAAACGCGACAGTAATGTAGGCAATGCTAATGTAGTTCATTATGGTAAGTATAATTCGGAATTTCAAAGTGACAACATACACGACAATCTGAAGAATCGTTTATCTAGATCTCCGAGAAAAACATTCCCTTCGACCGAGCCATGGGCCAACGTCTACAGTCAAAGTATGACCAATAAAAAGATCAAGAAAAATATGCTTTCAGCGACTTCATTCTCAAAATCTACTGTACAATCGCATTTATTTACACTAGTTTACATGGATACAATTATTATTTGTCTAATTCCATATAGTAACGAAAGTGATAATAATTTTCAACTTGATATGAAAGTTTGAAGGTAGGAATATGTAGATTACAAGGGCTTAGAGACAAGATTTCATAGGAATAGAAAATAGTTACAACGTATGCAAGAATTAATATTTGATAACTAGAGAAATAATAATTTTAAAGGCGAATAAAAGGTGACAAATATTTTCATCTTGATATGTATTACACGAGGCTCAAAAACAAAGGTTGCGCAGGGATAGAATGAATTACAGGTGTGAACAAAATGAGCATGGAGACAAATTCAAATCAAAACCTTTTTCCAACTTGAAACGTAAGTTAGGAGGTGCGAATATCGATGGATTACAAGAGGCATAGAAACAAAAGATTACACAGGATTAGAATGTAGTTGTAAAATGTTTGTTCTGAACGGATTACAAGTGTGATCAGGAGGAGCATGGATCTAAACTTTAAATAACTGATTTCATAACTGAGAAAAATGGGATGAATTAAATGAGGACAAAGAGAGAAAATAATCGCCGCTAATTCTTCTGGTTCGGTGGACTAGCGAGATGATGGGAAGTCTTTTACTGCTGATAGGTGCTCAAATGTCGAATTTTGTCAGTTCGCTATTCAATATTCGTTTTCTATGGAAAGATCCTTTCAGTTTGACGTCCAGGAATCGAATCTACGATTCACTTTCAACTTCCATCGTGAATTTCATTAAAGGACGGCAGTTATTCAACCCTTATAGGATACCTTTTAAATTGGAATATCCCTGAGAAACTGTAAAAGTGTTATCGACGTATTTTTTGTACAGCGATAATTATTCCACTGTTGATTTTAAGATGCCGTTTTCCAGGCTGGCCATGAAGCAGTTTGCCAAAAATGGGCCAAGGGGAGAGCCCATAGCAATCCCGTCTTTCTGTCTATAGATGACCCGTCGGATGTCAATTGTACGTTGAGTGTGCACCTTAATAACAACTCTTTCAGATATGATGCTGGTATTCTGATACTCAGGTTATTGTCATCCCTATATATGCAAAGGAAACAAATTCTGTTTGTGAGCGGCACATTCGAAAATATAGATTCCATGTCTAGTGATAACATTCGTTTGCCATTTAGATTCAATTATTTTATGCACTCAATAAATTCCACTTGGCGATCAGGTGGTACGGTGATCCCTCCATATGTAAAATTAGACAGAGTGGCAGACCTGCTTTATAAACCTTTGGTAGACCATAGAGTCAAGGGATAATTGATCCTATTGGTCTCAAGCATTCAAATAGGTCATCAGTTATGAGGCCGTCACTTTTTCATTCTCCTGAAAACATTTGCCAGTTGCTGTTTCATCTGTTCTGTCTTATTCTTTTCACTATCTGATTTTGGCAAATTTATTATCATTAGAGATTAGAGCTGTCAGTTTATTGATATACACGTCTATGTCAACAAGGACCACTCCCGAACCTTTTTTCTGGATGCGTAATGATTAGATCTTTGTTGTTTCTTGAGTCTTTAAGTTTTTGTTTGTGTTTCGTTTGCTAGGAGGTGTTGGACTTTAGTTTTGAGTTGAGGTATTGATTGCAGCAGTTGTAAACTGTATACTTTAAATGTAAGAAATCCGCATCGCTTGTATGACTAATAAGATTTTCGAATTGGACGTATTTGATGGAAAACAAATTTATTGTGATCCATGAGGAACTTCCTATGTGCTTCTACGGATTTTAGGCTTCTGTTCAAATCAGACTTGACATTCTCAGCTCGTTCGCTTTGCATCAAGATAACATATTCATTAAACGATTCTCTTTCACTTGATAATAGTTCAGAAAGAGCAGAAGACCTCTGTGATATACTTCTCTGTAACTCAGATATACGAGAGCTAATAGAATCAATAAAGTTGCTAGTGTGTTGTTGGATAGTTTTGGAATTGGGATAAATGGGATGTCTTCGGAGTGCCTTCCAGAACCACTTCGGGTATCGATGATTCGTAATGCAGTGTTCAAAGAAGTCTTTTTTTTTGCATTCACTTTGGTAAGTTTGACAGAGTAACGTAGATATCCACTGAGTTCCTACATTATCATGGGGTCCTTGCATTTTTTCAAATTCTGGAAACTACCCACTGAGACATTAGAGGGAAAAGAACAAGAAGTTCAGCAAAGATGGCGATCTTTTCAGCGATTTCATTCTCAAAAGCTGTACAATCGCATTTGTATACATTAGTTTAAGTGGATACAATTATAACTTATTTAATTCCACATAGTGACGAAAAAGACGTGAAAGTTTGAAGGCACGAATATAGATTACAAGAGGGTTGGAGACAAGATTGTATTCAAAAGAAGCTAGTCCAGCCTTTACAACTACCGTGGACCTACTTCAGTATGTTCCTATATCCTGCAGCTCTTTTCATTTTGCTTTTTGCTCTGTGTTTGCAATTTTCTCTCTTTGTCTTCATTCAATTCATCCCATTTTTCTCAGTTATGAAATCAGTTATTAAAAGTTTAGATCCATGCTCCTCCTGATCACACTTGTAATCCGTTCAGAACAAACATTTTACAACTACATTCTAATCCTGTGTAATCTTTTGTTTCTATGCCTCTTGTAATCCATCGATATTCGCACCTCCTAACTTACGTTTCAAGTTGGAAAAAGGTTTTGATTTGAATTTGTCTCCATGCTCATTTTGTTCACACCTGTAATTCATTCTATCCCTGCGTAACCTTTGTTTTTGAGTCTCGTGTAATACATATCAAGATGAAAATATTTGTCACCTTTTATTTGCCTTTAAAATTTTTTGATGCATTTATTCCCCTTGATAAACTTGAATAAAGCGAGAACAACATTGATTTGTGCAGAATAACATGGTACCGTCATTTATTTCGTTGGCTTCTTGGCAGCTGCTTACAGCCTAAATATCAGAACAGAACAGAGAACAGAAAGAAGGGCACACCTCCAATTTTATGAACATGTGCCGAAAAGCCTACGTCTCAAGAGATCAAACTCTTATAGCAGCGCTATTACCAGACATCTCCTCGACACGGGTCATGAGGTGGAAATCGAGAAATCCTTCAAAATTATCAATAGAAAAAGGAGCTAGAGGATTCTACTCAAGTTTGCCGAAGCAATTTCTATCAAACGCTTCAAACCAGATCTATGTGTTCAGAAAGAATCAGTTATTAGTCTTTCCTTGCCTTGGTAACTGGATGTCTCTTTTTTTCTCTCATCTGATTGCGTAATCTTTGTCTTTAACCTCACCCTCCTTTTATAATCTGTAATTTTGTTTGTCCCTTGTTTCTATGATTTGAGTTCAACTCAGTGCATTGTTACCTAACTTGTTAGTCACTATGCATCCAACGCACATCCCATCTTTATTATATGCATACATTTATTTATTATTATTTTTTAAAACTTGAACTGCCTGTGTAAAAACTATATAAGCGCAATTTTCTGAGCACTGTTTACTAATTGTGAAACTTTCTGTCAATTGACAACATGTAAAATTTGCAAGTATGTTAACACGTTTCTGTACTTAAACCTGAAAATTTATTTAGGCTGTAAGCAGCTGACGAGAAGCCAACGAAATAAGGCAATGATGGTACCATGTTATTCTGCACAAACCGCCAATGTTGTTCTCGCTTTATTCAAGTTTAAAATTATTATTTCTCTAGTTATCAAAAATTAAATTTGTCTACAATGTAACTATTTTTTAGTCCTATGCAATCTTGTTTCTAAGCCTCTTGTAATCTATATTCGTACATTCAAACTTTCATATCAAGTTGAAAATCATTATCACCTTCGTTACTATGTGGAATAAAAATAAATAATAATTGTATCCATGTAAACTAATGTATATAAATTCGATTGTAGAGCTGCTTTTGAGAATGAAATCTCCGAAAAGATATCTTTGCTGAACTTCTCACTGGTCATATGCCGACTGTAGAAGTTGGTCCATGGCTCGGTCGAAGGGAATGTTTTTCTCGGAGATCTACATAAACGATTTTTCAGAATGTCGTTATCACATTAAAAACCGGCATTACACATTCGGATTGGCAACATAAATATCATATCTGTCCTTCTAAACGCGTCAGAAACGTGCACTGCACTGACGTCACGGAAAGGAATTGCAGCAGCTTGCTGCAGACTTTTATTAACAGCTCTATAGTGAGGATTTAATGGCCAGTAGGAAAGAATGTGTAACAAGAATCTCTGGCTGGCTTGAAACAAACCAACAGGTGAGAGCCGATTGCTTTAAAATATTTAGAAGATAATGGATATGGATCGGTGTGTTATACATTGTGGAGGTTGTCGAATGACATCGTGTGCAATACAAGCCATTGCTCGAGTGGAATTTTTCAATGGGAAACGACGAGTCGCTCGACCTGAGGTGATATAGTGGTGGTTGTGTGAAGAAGAGATGAAGAAGTTTAGATGATCGTGGACCCATGTGAAGAAGATGCCAGAAAATAGAACAAAGTGGAGATGCGTTGTTGAATCAATATGATATACTCCGAATATAAGGGATAAATAATTTTAGGAATAATAATGACCTCAATGCAGCTGAAAAGAAAAGGTTATCCGAGAATACTGACACTTATCAGCAGTTTCATTCTCCAGTGCCATCATTATACATTTATGGTAGGCTGTTACAGTGACGCAAAGAATGTTTTTTTATATTAAATGGTTGGAGGTTATCGGCCAAAGGAAGCTCCGCCTGACCTAGTTTTCGTGCAGGTTGGTGTTCATCAGTCAGCAAGCCGTATGTGTAATCATCCCTAAAGGAACTCATGTCCCTTGTCTGAGATCTCAACACACGCATGTCACTCAGTGCCGTAGTAGTCAGTGACGTCAGCTCAAAGTCCTTAGTGGTGGTCACCTCTCTGACTTAAAAGAACTTCATGTCACCATTTCCCTTTCAACCAATGAATAAACAAAAGGTTGAATCATGAAATTTATTAATAAAAGAATAAATTCCCCTATCAACTCACCAAAGATGAAGAACAATACCGGTACCGTATACATAAGTGGAGTAATCTTTCTTACATGTTTTGCAAGTACTTACAATCCCTTTTATAGATACCTCATCATGGGAATTAGTAATCAGAGTTCACACAGATCTCATGAAAAATTATCTGAGTCCACAAAATCCAGTGAGATTTTCATCGTTTTTCTGTCATATTTCTAAACATGACCTGGTTTCACTCTGTTTTAAACTAAACAAAGGTACACTTGTAAACTTACTCAGGTATATGTGGAACAAAGTAAAGTGGGAGCCAGTGAGTGAATGACCTCATGATATGCATACAGTGTTTCTGAAAAATCAATATTCTGTTCATTGGAAAGCTCACGTGTATTGTGAAAATCAATTGTAGTGATATCAGTGAGACTATGCCTCTAGATCGTGGGGTATTTATTTGGTAGCTTTTCACACCTATTTTCAGACATTTCAGAAGTAAGCACTTGTCATGCCATCAGAAATCGAAGACAGGACCATTCAGGTTCTGAGACAAGGTCGTTATGTATGCATTCAGCCAGTGGAAAAGAATCCCTTAATTAATAATTTCTAACTTCTGTCAATTTGTGATTTTCACCACCATTGCTGACTAATGCAATCGGCGAGTAATTTTGCCTTACACGCGACTTGGTGTACTCAAGGGTTCACGACTACTTAGGATACGTCAAGACAGCTCCACTGTATAATCTGTCGATCGTAAATTGACACACACAACTGATAACTACCACCATGACATGGTACCTAGATCTGCATATCGAACGGATCCCACAAGCACCACTGGCTTAGATAAATGTTTATGCAGGTCCTACCATGTCAGGAAGATGGTTGGGATAGCCGTAAGACTAAAAGCAGTTGCCGGTGTTGTGCAAAACGTATACATTATGCTTGGGTTTATGTGGGCAAAATCTTGAGCTTGGTGAAGTGGGAAGTGGCAACAGTAAGGTATTTGTCTCAGATGACCTGTATGTCAGCCAGTTATTCTCTTAGTCCACTCTGGAGAAAAAGTGTGTGGGTTAGGGAACTTTGACCATGAAACTTATGCATCCTGACTTACCCTACAGTGGTTCGTCGTTGTCGGTAAGGTACTAATATGAAATCAACTCTAAAAACCTATTCGAACAGGCTGTGTGTGAGTGGTGTTAAGAAGTTGCCACCTGGAATATGTGGTCACACAACAGTAATTCCATTTTTATTTGAGATACTCCAAAAGAACATGTGATTCTGTGGTGTGGATAATTGGGGAGTGACAACAGTGCACACGATTCTGAAAACAGACGAAAAGCAGCGAGCTAACACTTGTTAGAATTCATAGGCACTTGATTCATTTTTCACTGAATTAATAATCAACGAGGTCTCCATGAAACCTGCAGGGTCTCACTTCTATCCCCAAAGGAAGGAGTCACAGGTTTATGCTAATGAAGAGTCCCATACCAGGAAGAAACACTTGTTCATTCCTCCAAGATTTTCAACAGTTCAGCAGTTAAAACTAATGAAATCTTTAGAAAATGACAATTCAATATCATATAGTGAAATTTGATTTGTGGTGCCATTTGAAATACCCATATGGACATTAGAAAGAAGAGAACACGTGGTTCAGAAAAGATTGAAGATCTTTTCGGTGATTTCATTCTCAAAAAGTGTGCAGTCCCATTTATACAGATTATTTTACATGGATACAATTATTATTTGTCTAATTCCACATAGTAACGAAGGTGATAATTAAGTTTCAACTTGATATGAAAGTTTGAAGGTAGGAATATAGATTACAAGGGGTTTAGAGACAAGGTTGCATAGGAAAAGAAAATAGTTACAACGTATGCAAGAATTAATATTTGATAACTAGAGAAATAATAATTTCAAAGGCGAATAAAAGGTGACAATTATTTTCAACTTGCTATGAATTACACGAGGCTTAGAAACGCAGCGGTAGAACGAATTGAAGGTGTGATCAAAATGAGCATGGAAACAAACTGAAGTTAAAATCTTTTTCCAACTTGAAATGTAAGTTAGGAAGGAGGTGTGAATATAGATCACCAGAGGCATAGAGACACAAAATTACACAGGATTAGAATATAACTGTAAAATAGTTATTTTAAATGAATTATACATGTGAACAGGAAAAGCATGGAAACAAACTTAAAATAACCGGTTTTATAACGGAAAAAAAAGTTAAGTGAATTTAATGAAGACTGAGTGAATAAGGATCAGAGACACAGCGAACGAAAGAATGCTGAAAAAGGAAAAAGAGAGAACAAGAAAACAGATGAAGAAGAAAAAATAATTTATTTTTTTTATTCTATTTTTTTTGATTACAGCTTGATTCCACACCGTATTTTTGGTACAAGTATGGAATTTTCAGCATGGATATCGGTAGCCCAAATTTCGCAGGCCGACCATAGATATCAGGTGTGCGTCGGCATGGGCTCGAACCCCGAACCATGTGCATGGTTGGTGAGAGTCCTAACCACTGTGCCACCGACGCACAAAGGGAACATAATAATACGTTGTAACTATTTTCTAATCCTATGAAATCTTGTCTCTAAGCCCCTCGTAATCTATATTCGTACCGTCAAACTTTCATATCAAGTTCAATATTATTATTTCCTTTGTTACTATGTGGAATTAAACAAATAATAATTGAATCCATGTAAATTAATGTATATAAATTCGATTGTAGAGCTGCTTTTGAGAATGAAATCGCTGAATAGATCTTGATCTTTGCTGAACTTCGTGTTCTCTTCTTTCTAATGTCTATTTGAAGTAAAACATGAACTTTGACACATCATCAAATAGGAAACAAATCAAGTGGTATCTGAAATGTATAAGAAACTGTCAAGTGTCTATACACTAGCTCGTGAATTGATGCTATTGACGCTACAGATAAGCTTGTAATTTACATGTATGTCGAATCAAATATTGATCAGTGCGAACGAGTATGAATCACAATGTAATAAGTGAGAAGATTAGGACATTTTGTAATTTTGACATAACCTTTCTTAAGACAACCTGAAAATATACAAATCTCTGCGTCGAATTATGCAACAAAATCAAGTTGATGATTAACATTAAAAAAAAAACAAATAAAATTGAAAATATTATTTTGAGTAAAATTTATTTTGATAAAGTTTCAAAGTGTTATACAGTAATATTGACTGTAGACACATTGACTGACTGGTTCTTTGAAGGTTTTCACCAGCCAATGGCGTCATTACGCCTTTCTGATTCAAGCGAAAAATAAGATTAGTATTTGAATCTTTTGTATTTCTAACATATATTTTCTGTGCATTGAAGTTTCTCTAACAGTTTGATAGCTTTTATTGTATGGGGTTGCTAGTCCCACGTCCAACTTACCCTCTTTACCCGGGATCGGGACAGTCTAGAAAACTAGCTTGCTGGTTAACTGGGCGATAATATAAGCAATAATGCTAACTAATTTTTTTACTTTGATTTTGTTTGACGATCCTAATGTACAAACACACACAAATTAATTATTTATAAATACGAGTGTACAGTTAAGTGAATGAATTCGCAGAAAAGAGAATCCTCTCTGGACTTGGTTGTTCTTTTCTAGTTCTAATGGATTTCTTGGTGGTTGAAGAGAGTCAGGTCTACAGCGTTCATTTCCGCTGATTTTGACTACAACATGGAGAGGTTTGGCCGATATAGATCAAATCACATTCCAAGCAAGCATTTTACGTTATATACACAATTAGATTGAGAATCTTTAATTATTTTGATCTATTATATGGACATGTTTTCTTTGCAGTTTGTCTGGTGTTAACAGAAGAACTCGGATATTGTGTCAAACGTGTACTCCTTTTCTGATATCGTATGTTGCTTCTGAGCTATTTGGAATGATAACCGTTGAATTACATGTCTTCTGAATACGCTTTCCACCATATTTTATGTCGATGTTAATTTGGTTGATGAAGGTGTTTGGGTTTCAACGATGTTTGATATTTGACTTGAAGTCTAAATATTTGTTGGAGTGGGTTTTCTTCCTGAATATATATATATATATATATATATATATATATTGAAATTTCCCTTTTCCATCTTCTGTACAGGCAGTCGAGACACGTTAGTTCAACTGTGTGTGATTTGTAATCCACTTCATTCCATAACAGGCAATCATGAGAGGCAGGAATAATTTGAAAAAATATATACATACTATTGATTGGATGATATGAGTAGTTAGTTGTAGACACTTCTCGTTAACCCGTAGTGTTTTTCGACTAGCCAGGTCGAATCGATCTAAACATCTGACGGTTAACTCATTTGAAGTACACCTCTGATAAACGTGGCTTCAAAAGAGTAAAATGACCGTCCAGTGTTAGGTTCACTTCGATCTGGCTCTCTAGTAGGTACTACTTCAATTGATTTGAGTAGTATACAACAACTACTACTCATGTCAGTCATTTAATTGCATACAGTTGTAATCAGTTAAGTTGTACTTTCCTCTCTGCCTATAAATGTGGAGAATAATTAGTGCTCTATTTACTTCGATTTTGGGCGTGTTTCACTGTGTTTGTTGTGCTTGTTTGGTTACTTTTTTCTTTGATTTTCCTGTAATTCATTGCAAACTGATTCCGTGTGAATCGCATGAATAAGCAAAATCCACTACAAATAGACCATATTAGAAAAAAACAATCAAATTTGCATTCAACGCCTCTCGTTTCGCGTATGTTTAGTCTACGCCTTTTTCATTCATTGAATCAATTACTGTTTGCATGTGTGTGTGTGTGGGTGGATTCGAGTGATGACAAAATTATACTTCACTGAGAGTGGATCACTCATTCACTATGATGTAGATTGTTCCTTTTCGAAACGAGAATTGAATTTGACCAAAAAAGACATCAGGCTTAGATAAATTCACCGGCGGTGAAACCTCAGATAATTAGACAAATACTCAGATTATGACCTGTCTATTGATGTCAACGTTTAACTAAATAGATTTCATGAAGAAAGTTGTAGAGTCATTCAGAATCATGCAGTTATAGACATTTGTCGAAAGGATAATA